CTCCCCAGCTCGGGACGGGATTGCACTTAGTGCACCGGTATTCTCCAAAGAAGAGAGAACCACCARGGCCAATTGTGTTCACCAAGAGAAAGTCACCCAAATGTCCAGGACTCAACTCAAGCCAGACCAGCCCTATTCTTTTCAACTTTTTTAGATCAGCACGTATTTATTAAGACTTTGAGAGGAGACATGGGGCACTAGATTCTGTGGAAAATGTAAAAAAATAGCACACTTCCTGTCTTCAGAAAAAGTATAGCTAGCCAGACAGATGTGGTAGACAACAGCTTACCGCAGGTGTCGCAGGAAAAAAATTAGAGCCCTTGTGCTTTGGGTTTGATCGTAAAAGATGACAAAAGAACTCAGAGGAAGGAAAATTACTGGGACTCTCGTAGGTCCGGAAGGGCTTCAGGTAGGAGGTAAGTCTAAATGGAGCTTCTTTGTTTTATTTTTATGTTTTGGAGGTACTGGTGATTGAACCCACTACCACTGAGCTACATTCCTAACCCTTTTCATTTTTTTTTTATTTTGAGATGGGGTCTCACTAAATTGCTAAGGCTGGACTTGAGCTTGCAATCCTCCTGCCTCAGCCTCCTCAATAGCTGAGATGACAGGAGTGCACCACCCTGCCCAGCTTAAACCGAGCTTTGAGGGACGAACGGGATTCAGATGTATGGGGGGAAAGCGAAAGGGAAATTTTATGTTGAGGGTCCAGTGTTTTACTTGCCACAGTCAATGTGCAAAGTTTCGATGATTCACTAAACTTTTCCTTAGTGCTTCCCCCTAGATATGGCATGCATGAGGAGTACCAAGTAAAGATGACCTTGGTCTCTAGGAGAGATCTTGAAAAGAATAGGCTTTGCATACACCCTCATTTTGATTTAAAATGATAGACCAAGTACATGTAGCCAGACAAATTAAAAGCACCTTCCACAAATTACAGATGGCCAACAAATATATGAAAATGTTCAACCTCGTGAGCAATTAGGGAAATGAAAATTGAAACTACACTGAGATTTCATCTCCCACTAGTCAGAATGGCAGTCATCAAGAATACAAATAATAATAAACACTGGAGAAGATGAGGAGAAAAAGGAACAATTTTACGCTGTTGGTGGGATTGTAAATTGGTACAACCACCATGGAAAGCAGTATGGAGGCTCCTCAAAARACTAGGCWTGGAACCGTCATATGACCCGGCTATACCACTCCTCAGTACTTATCCTAAGGAATTAAAATCATTATACCGCAGTGTTACATGCGTCCCCATGTTTACAGCAGCACAACTCACARTAGCCAAACTATGGAACCAACCTGAGTGTTCATTGGTGGATGAATRGATAAAGAAAACGTGGTATAGATAGACAATGGAGCTTAATTCTGCCATAAAGAGGGATGAACTTATGTCATTTCACAGGAAAATGGATAGAACTTGAAAATACTATGTTAMKCGAAATWAGCCAAACTCAGAAAGTCAAGGGTCAGATGTTTTCTCTCATATGTGGAAGCTACAGAGAAAAAAAGGTATGGTGGGGGGGTTGCATGGAAATTTAAGAGAGCTCGGTGGAATAGAGTTAAAGGGACCAGGGGAAGGAGGAAGGGAGGGAATGAGGGAATACTGGGGAATGATACTGACCAAATTTTTGTTATGTTGTACATATGTATGAATATGTACCGATGAATCCACCACTATGTACAGTTGTGATGCACCAAGAAAAATAGGGAAAAAAATTTAAACTGAAAAGAGCACTTTCCACAGCATCAATATTTAACATGTATTTTAAGAACACACGCTAGGCACAAAAGACACAGTGGAAAAATTAGACAGGAATGAATCCCGTACTTCATAAAGAGGGATGGACTTATGTCATTCACAGGAAAATGGACAGAACTTGAAAATAGACTGTGACCCCACACTCACACGTGGTTGAGCACACTCTAAGAATGGTAGAGAGATTTCTCTGAGAGCACACAGAGAACTGTGTGGTTGTGACAGGCAGAATTCTAAGGTGACCCCCAATGATCCCTGCCTTCATGTAATCCCCTCCCCTTGAGAGGGAAGGACTTGTGACTTGCTTTTAAAATATGGCAAAGGTGAAAGTATTTTGCACACAATAATTAATGCCCCTGACTTTAAGTTATTCAAAAGGGAGACGATGACTATGGCCATACTACCCTGAATGCACCTGATCTCAAAAGAGAGACTATCCTGGGTGGGCCTCACCTCATCAGGTAAGCTCTTTACAAAGGTCTAGAAGTGAGAGACCCAGTGAAGCAGCTTCTCCCTGCCTCCACTGCTGGCCTTGAAGAAGCTTCCAGAAAGCCAACAGCAATAATGAAATGAACCCTGACAGCAGCACGAGAGAGCTTGGAAGTCAATGCGTCCTCAGCCTAGTCTCTGGATGGTATCGCACTCTGGCTGGCACTTTGACATCCTGGGAAGACAGATGGCTATGCCCCACCCAGTCTCCCAGCCCAGGAGACCTGGGACAAAGTAAATGTGTGATATTTTAAGGCGTTCAGTCGAATACGAGGGTAGATTAGACAGAGCTGGCTTTGGRTGTCCTCCTGGGCAGATGCACTAGAAGCTGAGGGTGTCGGTGGCCTTGAAGCTTCTGTATCCTGCAGGTGACATCTAGGCCAGGTGCATACATAGCAAGCGAGGTCTGCCCGCCCACCCCCTGGGGGCTCCTGACTGGTGTGTAAGTTCCTACACACTCATGTGTCAGAATGTCTTAAACTCTGATATAAAACCGCATTTGTGTGGCTTAAATAACAAATTCATTACCTAAYGAAACAGGGAGTCCTGAGGTGGTCAGGCCCACGATCTGTGAACTTACATGCTCACTAACGGGATTAAGGGTCAGGGTCCTTTTTGCTTTTCCACTGTCTTCTCCTCAGGACAATGGTTTGTTCATAGTTAGCTTTCCTCGTGGTCACAAGACAGCTGCCACTGCTCTAGGCACATCTCCATGAGGCTGTCTAGTGGAGAAACAAGTACTGTATCTCTGCGTGTAGCCTTTCTTCTAACCGGTGAGGAAAAATCTTCCTCAGGCCTCTCCTAACATCCCATTGACCAGAACTCTATCTCGTGCATAGGGGCAGAGGGGACAGGCCACTGAGAACACGGAAGGAGGCCCCTGTGGCTGGACTGAGTGTGGGGCAGCAGGAGGGACTTCCTGCTCCTTGAGGAGGAGCCTGGGTTGTGCCCCAGGAGCCACCCAAAGGCACYGATGGTTTGAAAACAGGGCCACGATGTGATCGGAGTGGTGTTTTTAAAAACTCAATCCAGCTGCTGTGTAAAATGGATGGAGGCTGGGGGACATCAGGAGACCATGACATTAGCCCAGAGCTGATGATGGTGACTTGGCTTGGGCAGTGACAGAGGGAGGGAGGACGAGTGGACAAGCTGAGCCTCCATGGCATTGCTAGTGCCTCGGGGGACACCAGGGTGGGTGAGCCCCAGGGCTTCCAAGCTGTGCCGTCTGCTGCGGGGACTGAGATTYGCCCGTGCAGCCAAAGCCCCAGCCTGGAGGGGGAGTGAGAGCCACATGGGGGCGCAGGGAACTTAGAAGAAGGCGAGGGCATGGGGCAGGGGTGTGTGGGCAGGCGTCATCTCAGGGCCACAATGAATTTCTGGGAAAAGGTGACACGAAAGGGGAAATTCTCTCCACCACCTGGCGTGTGGAGCGAGATCTCACAGAGAAGGTGACATATAAGTGTCACTTGAAGGACGGGCCTCGAAGGATGAGTAGGAGTTTGCCAGGCCAAGAAGCGAGGTGGGAAGGTCTTCCAAACACAGGGAAGGCGCTGTGCAGACGCGGATTCTTTCAATTCTCACCCCTTCAACCCTACAAAGCCCCACCAGCCGTGGGCTCTGCCAGTTTCTACCAAACAAGARGTGACAGCCAAGCACTGACCTCAGGAGCACGCATTTTTACCAGCAGGAAGTGGGGGTTTTCATCAGTCTCATGAGGAGACCCCCGACCCCCGTTATTCCTCAGAAATGTCTTTAGTGACTTTCACTTTTCCAGGGCATCAAGGAAAGGAATCTGAAATCAGTTTCTTCCGAGACTAGGAAACTCATTAGTCATGGATACAGGGCCCTGTCTCTTCCTGTTTCACAGAMAGACAGGAAAAGTCGTGATTCACCCTCCTCTCTGGCTTCCAATTCTGGCATTGGCAGGAAGTCAGTCTGTTAGGGTTTAGATGTGGTGTCCCCCAAAAGCTCACACGAAGACAATGCAAGAAGGTTCCGGGCAGAGGTGACTGGGTTCCAGCCTTAACCTAATCAGTGAATGAGCCGTGGTAACGGGAGGCAGGCCGAGTGTGGATGGAGGAGGCGGGGGCTGGGACGTGGGTTGGGGGTACACATTTTGTGCCTGACCAGGGGAGACCTTTCTGCTTCCTGATCACCATGTGAGCTGGTTCCCTCTGCCACACTGTCCCTCCRTGATGACCTGCCTCACCTTGAGCCCTGAGGACTGGAGCCGGCCGTCTATAGACTAAGGCCTCTGAAGCTGGGTGCCCCCAAATAAACCTCTCCTCCTTTACAGTCACAGTGGCGAAAAASCTGACTGAAACAGTCCTTTCTGAACTTCTGAGAGTTCGTGCAAGTTTTCTCCAACCCCGAAAGACGCTCAAGAACGTTCCTGCTGAGTCCCAGGCGTAATTGCGCATTTCACTGAAAAGAAAAGCGAGCCTTTCAAGACAGATTGAGAGGCTGTGAGCAAGGAATCCACTTGAGGCTGTGAAGGCCTCTGCTCTTAGCCCACACCATCATGTGACAAGTGTGGGCACTGAGGAAAGGTGCCCCTGGACCATGGGGCAGGGCCCTGACCCCAAGCTGCCCCAGAAGGGAGTGGGAGGCAGAGAGAAAGAGCAGGGTGACAGCAGAAGCGTTTTGAGGAACTGACCCAGGGCAGGCATTTCAGACGCACTTCCTCTCCCCTCCACACCCCGCCTCCACCGGCCCTCTCTCCAGACGCTCCTTTTCTCTCTAGTGGGCAGGTCATGCATCGGTTGCTGACAGGTGGGGACATTTCCTGACACATTCGCAACCTTAAAAAGTGTCCCAAGACACGAAGAAGGCCAGGCCCCATTCTGCACACCACGCCGGGGWCGGAAGACCAAGGCCGCTGGGGCAGCCCTGCCCGTCGTCTCCTGGTCGCCCTCTTGGCCTCCTGGTCTCCACCTCACCATGTCCCTGGCTGAGGCCATCAGCCTGTGGAATGAAGGGGTGCTGGCAGCAGACAAGAAGGACTGGAAGAGAGCCCTGGACGCCTTCAGTGCCGTCCAGGACCCTCACTCCAGGATCTGCTTCAACATCGGTTGCATGCACACCATCCTGGGAAACATGCCCGAAGCCGAGAAGGTGAGTACAGCTGCCTCCTGGGTCTCCTCTCTGCCTTGTAATTACGGCCCCCACCCCCTGCCCTTTAGAAACCTGAGCTCCAGGGAGTTTGCAAAGAACCAGTTGTGCAGGCCCCACCCCCTGAGGTCCTGATTTAATTGGTGTGAGGAGGAGCCGGGAGCCACCCCTGGGAAAGCTCCCCTGCGGTTGGTGGTTCTCGTGGGCAGCCAGGTCGCTGGCCTGTTCTCCTTTCTTTTCCATCTACTAAATCCAAACCATCCTGCAACCATTCTTTAACAGCTTTAGGAAGACTCCCCATGACATCTTCTAGCCACCCTGCTGGACACAGGATGTCTATCACTGTCTCACACCTGATCCTTAGGTGCCCTTTATGGCTTTCCAAGAATGTCACATGCATCAGCTTTGCCTGCCCAAGAGATCAGGGTGAAAAGTAGGTTCCATCCCCAGTGACAATTCCCATCCGTTACACGGGACACTCTTCTAAGGGTTCTGAGGCTGTCAGAGGAATTCATACCACAATTGGTTTAGAGGTGTCGGCCACAAGCATGGTATGGGGTAGCTTAACATTTTCTAAAAATACTTTTTCTCTCTTGAATGCCCTCAAACCAGTTGAGCATTCTCAATTATCACTTGTTTAGATTGGTTATGCTAAGGTGGAAGGGCACGGAGTTTGGGAATAGAAGATCTAGTATCCAATCCCAGCTCTACCTCTTCTGGGCCTATATCATAACACAAGCCCATTATAAGCTTCTGTCTTTTGGCATCGTGAGACTTTAAATATCACCAAGATTAAGTGAGATACCAACTATTAAAGTGCTGTGTAACTTCCCATCCCGAATTAAATTTTTGATTTTTACCCTGTCCTGCCAGCCTTTTGCAAGGTGTAGACAAATAATTACTCCTCGGTACTCCTTAACSAACCAGGTCATCCTGTTAGCAGCAGTGAGCAAGCCTCAGTCRCGCCCTCTAGATGGGAGGAGAGACCCAGGGCTCCAAACGCTCTCCCATCTGACAAGTGGCTCTCAGGCTCCAGAGAGGGGRCACAAACTGTGCTGAGGGCCTGTGAGGAGACCCTCTGCTGCTGCTCCACCTCCCTCTGGGCCTGCCAAGGGGCTGAGCAAACAGCACCGTGCACCTGATTGCTTCAGGGGACCAAGGGCTGCTTGTTGGGGAGAAGAGATTAGCGAAGGCAGCGGCAAGCTGCACAGTCTGCTTGTGTTTCAACCTGGGTGGGGGATCCTTGCCARCAGGCCAGACCGATGCACCCCACTCGGCTCCCACGCTCACTGCCCTAGTTTCCCCTTGCTTTCTCCTGCCGCCTGCCCTCTCAGTCCCTCTGCCTGCCTTTGTTTTTATGCTTGGGCCCTTACTGCCAAAATGTTATATATATATATATATATATATATATATATATATATATATATATATATAGAGAGAGAGAGAGAGAGAGAGAGAGAGAGAGAGAGTTGTTACTATTTTAATTATATAATACATTTATATCACAAATACAATGATTTATGTATTTTAATTATACTATTTGCATTTTAATGAATTTGACTATTTTGTTCCTGCCAGTCATCTTGAAAGGCAGGTAGTGATATCCCCATTTCACAGAGAGAAAACCGAGGTTCATGGAGATCAGATAAYTGGCCACATGCCATGCAATGAGGAAGTGACCATCCAGGGCATTCTGACCCAGGGTGTGGACGCCCTAGGCTTCTTGGTGCCTTGACCTTTATCGATCTCATGCCCCTTGCTGATCTCCCCRCTCTGGCTCATCTCCCTCTTCTTCATTGCTCCATGGCCATGTGTGGACCCTTCTCTCCACAGGCCTTTACCAAAAGCATCAACCGGGACAAGCATTTGGCAGTGGCCTACTTCCAACGCGGGATGCTCTACTACAAGACAGAGAAGTAAGTGGTCCAGAGTTGCCCTGGAAGTCTGGAGGGAAACCCRAAGAGTCTTGGAGCTTTTGGGCCTGGTATTCCAGCCTCTGTTGGGAAAAGACTCCACTGGCCCATTCTCGGGAAGTGAAGCAAGAATCAGCACCTGAGGCCGAGGCTCCCGTGGGGAGGAGGRCAGGCCTGCCCGGATTATAAATCCACAGTGCGTACTCACAGGGGCCTAGAAACCTCCCTGCTCTTCAGCAGCAGGCGCCCGCCTGTGTCCCTGATGGGGTCACCAAAATATTCTTGGTAATTCTGGATGGTGGAATGATTAGGAAGTTCATTTTCTTCTGTCATCCAATCTGCATTTTTGGGGGGAGGGTGTTTACAGTAAATATGAAATAATTAGTAAAAAGATAATGAGAAAGTGAAAGTTAGTCTCAGTTTCTACTCCCCGCCTCAAATGACTAAAGACCCAAGATATAAATAACAGAGGAAAAATGTTCTAAGTGACAGAAAACTCATTCTTCATGGAAATTGTCCAATCAGTTGCACATATTCTAGGGAAGAGGAATTTGGCTCAGGTCACTGAAGAACTTTCTAGCAGTGAGTCTGGTCCTAGCATGGTGTGTGTTGGGGTACAGGTGGACGGGGTGTTGATGGGGAGGGGTGCAGAGGATGGGGGAGGGGTTGGCTCTGATCCTGTGCCACCTTGGAAGGCTTTGATCCTAGGGTTTGTGAGACACACAGCTGGTAATGTCCTGTGTGTTCAGCGGTTGCTAGGGGCAACCACAAGGCACTCAGAGGACTTCAAAGATGGAGATGTAGCCAGTTACCTGAATGAGTAAGGAGTCTTCCCCAAAGAAAAAGCACAGGCAGAGACCATCTGGGAGAGAGAGCCTGCGTGCGACTGGGATAAGATACGTGGCTCTTTCCTTTATTGGCACTGTCCCTGCCTGTCCCCTTTCTTCATGTCCTTCTCATCCCCCACTTCCTGCACCCTCTGTATTCTCCAGATGGATATAACATACAGGGAGGCCAAGTGCCCATCCTCCACCCTGTTTTTAATTTCAAAAGACAAACTCTAAGGCTGTCCCTTTAATTAGCCTCAGTAACCTATGGTAGGAGGGAGAGGGCAGGAGTTTCAGCGTCCAGACGGAATTCCCACATGAAAATGCCCACAGACCCCAGATGCTGGAAGGCTGAGATTTTGAGTGAATTAGAAGGATCTAGAAATGAGATCCAGAATTCTGTTACTCCRCATGATAATAGTTAAACCGAGAGAAAAATCTAGCAAATTTAATCTATAGTTCAGCAGCACTTTGATGAGGACATAGATCTCCACCCTGACCTGGCTCCTTGTCCTTTGACCAATCCAGAGGAGCTGGTGCCCCTCCCTGACATTCTGCTCTCAACCCTTTGTCCTAGTATGACCACAACAGTGGCTGTTAAGTGATCACGTAAAACACAAGTGAGCTCTCTTTCGTGAAAAAATAGGCAAGCACATGCCTTCTGTGATGTCCCATCTCAGGGGGTATCGACTTGGAAATCCTCCTGCGAACCTTCGCTGTCTATCTCTGGGCAAGGCTGCCCTCTCCCAAAGTACTGGCCTCCATTTGTAACCACCCAGCTTAGGACATCTGTACCCGGATCAACCCAGAATGCCCCTAGTCCTGACCTTGTCAGGGTGACCTCCAGACTCTGTCTCATCTGCCTGTCACTGCCCTGGGTGAGACCCTCATTTCCCCATGTTCCAGAGCGATCTTTAAAAAAGGGAAATCCATGAGGTCGGCCTGGGAACCCAGTGTTCCCCTTACTGGAGGACACAGGCCCAATCCTCACCCTGTTCCTCTGCGGTCCAGCAGCTGCCGGCCGTCACTCATCCTCCATGCCTTTACCACACTCGACCTCGGGGGTGGAGCCACACCTTCCCTTGTGCCTCCTTTCATGACATCTTCTGGTCTATGGCAGATATTTGCTTACGTGATCGTCTTCTCCACGATGACGCTGTGTCCCTTAGGAGAAGTAATCTTCACAACTTCACGCTGGAACTTCAGTCCAGGCAGTAGTTACTCAATAAATGCTTGTTGAGTTGATAAATGAAAGTGAGCAAGTGTTTGCTTCAAGGAACTCATAGATTAAAAGGGGAGAAAGAGCCACCAACACTGGTGACTGTGGCGCAAGAAGTGGCCAAGTGTTGTAAGCCCTGGGATGGAGCCCGGGGGCGTTCCACCTCTGAGCCACATYCCCAGCACCCCWCCCTCCCCTCTTCTTTTGAAATAGGGTCTCAATAAATTGCTGAGGCTGTTCTCTAACTTGAAATCCTCCTGCCTCAGCCTCCTGAATCCCTGGGGTTACAGACATGCACCACCAGGCTGTAAGTGCTATTTTTAAGTGCTGTGGGGATCTAAAGAAGGCTTCTTGCCGAGTGGGCTGGGAGTTCCCTTTGATCACAGTGGGATTTGTTCTCGGGTGATAACGTCATGGAGGGTGCTCCTTTCTCYSTCTTCCCACTCTTGATTGTTATTGGTTCTTTGGTCACTATCAAGTTCCAACAGCACAGAGTTAGAGCGTGTATCTGAAGAGGCAGGTGGTGTCTCAGGACGACCAGCTGAGCTGCCTTGTCATCTCAGGGGCAGGGGCTCTCAGCCCTGTGCCTCATTGAATCTTAGGGGTGTGGAAAGAGAAGAATCACAGACCCTTTAGAGGGACCTGGCTWAAAGAGGCCAGCGGCAGGCTGCTCCCTGCTGACTCAGAAACGGAAAGGGCAGGACCTGGGTCCCCCCAGAGGAACAAGCAGGAACTTCAACGGTCACCTTTACAGAGTCTGTTTCAAAAATGATGATTAGGAACCCTCTCAAGYTCTGAGCCTGCAAAAAGACTCTGCRTGTTTCTCCCTTGGGCAGGGAGTTCCTGCAGGGGCAGTGGAGGCCAGGGCACAGCATGGCACAGCCAGGGTTCTCCAGGGCCTCACAGAAGCCACAGGAAGCAGACAGCTCCTTGGCTCCTCAGGAGGCCTCTAAACGGCACCCAAGGGAACTTTGGAGAAGGGCAAAAAGGAGTCTGGGTTATTCCCAGGTTCCAGGGGCACAGGCTGACGAGCTTTTTCAGACTTTTCATTCTGAGCTTGTTCAGACCTGCCCAGCCGGAAGCAGAGCTGTGTGTCAGAGTGGACCCCCACCAACTCCTAAGTGCAGCTCCAGGTCAGCAAGTAGAGGACTGAGGAAGGCCTGCAGAGGGAGGGAGGGGGCCGCCAGGCCAGCGATTGAGCTTGAAGARCTCCTAAGAAGGGACAGTTAGCAGGGATCCCTTCTAGCCCATTCCCCCCACCCCTAAAGCAAGCACTCGGAATAATTTGTCAGTGCTTTCTCTCTCCCTCCCATGGGGCCCAGACAACTTCATGGGCTGGAGAATCACAAGGAGGATTTTGCTAGGCTCATGCAAAAACAGGAAGCGGCCAGGGGATGGTGGGTCTCTTCTCAGCTGAAACCCATCTGCTTAGCGAACTCAGCAGGGAAGAAGGCGCGTTCCTAGGTCGATGCTGACCGGCACTCAGAGAGCACCTTCTGAGACCTGGCATGGCCGCTGCGGAGGGAACAGGACCCCTGCACTTCCACCTGCCCCCTCCTCTGTGTGGTGAAAGGAGCCAGTGCCCAGCCTTGGTGGAGCTACCTCTCCCCCTTTCCAGGATTGCCTGAAAGACGTGTGGTGAGGCCTTGAAATGCCCGGTGTGTCTTCCAGAGCGGCCTGCACTTTTTTAATGCATTTTACAATCATCCGTGTGAACAAGGATCCTGGAGAAACCACGGTCCTGTTTCAGGCCCAGGCTGTCCCCTCCCACCCATAGATGCCCTGCTATGAGCTGCTTCAAACCTACCTGGGACTGCAAATCAAGTCCCCACCCCAAACACCCGGCGTCCGTGTTCCTAGGACTCTCTTGGTCCACCAGCCCTCTCGGTCAGCTCTAAGCCTCCTCCAGATCAGATTTCCACTTCTCCACAGTCAATTTTTTAATCTCCTGATAACATCTAATGCCATAGAGAGCTTTAAGTGAGCAGGTGATAAATGACTGATGCAGGGTGTCACTGGGGTTTCAGAGCCCAAGAACTAAATGAGTGACTGAGTTGCCAGGTCCTAAGTGCCTGGACGCTTCAGGTCTGCACTGTTAGCATCCTCTTATTCTAAAGGCGAGGAAGCACACTTAGAGAAGCAAAGTCATTTGCCATTCGTCACCAGGTCACCAGACATCAGTGGCAGAGCCTGCCAGGACTCAGGCTCAGTTTACCTTGACTTCGGATATTGGATCTGGGACTACACAGTAGCAAGCTCCTCGTGTTATATGCTTCTTGTATACAGGATGCTCCCATATTATTGATGTGCCCCTGAGGCCAGAGAAGTAGCTTGCTAGGGTCTCCCAGTTAGTGGCAGACCTGTGGATAGGGTGCCTAACGCCTGGCTCCGCTCCAGGGTCCTTCCCTACACCATACTGCAAGACAAGTCCCACATGGCAGCTCTGATCACAGTGGCCTGGGGGCTTCCCAGCTCAATTGCTCAGGTGGGGGTCACAACCAAGCAGCCAAGGGGGCTGAGAGGAGCCATAGGTAGGGTGGCTTGCAGCCCAGCAAGGGCTCTCTCTCCCCAGGGCCTCTGGAGCTCAGGGCTAGGCCACAGCCTGGGTTGGCTTCCAGAGAAGTGTGAATCTAGGTCCTGCCCACTGGACCCCTGCACCTTGTGTGTCTGGGATTCTTTCTCTGTTGCGATTCAAGGAAGCAGCCCTAATACACCTTCAGCTAGTCAACAATGCCAGCTCAACAGAACGCAAGGCCGTGCCAGGAGCAACATTAGAAGTACCGTCTGGCCGCCGGGGTAGTTACCTCCTCCTTTTTTCCAAATGTGTGGAGGAGGTGGGAGCAGGAAGGAGAGCCTAGTTGGAGAAGGCTGTGGGCAGGAGGGTGGTGTCACAGCTGTGAGAAGCACCCCTCGTTGCTGTGCCAGGCTGCTCTGATCTTACACAGGGGGTGAGTGGGGTACAAATAGCCAGCTGTGCTTCAGATCAGCTCTAAGACCTGCAAGGATGCAGGTGGGCAGGCGTGGCTCTGCCTGGAGCACTCCAGAGAAAGGAATAGGCGCTGTATTTGAAGGTGATAAACCAGGTGGCCAGAAAGGTGAGAGCTGTGAACAATCCATAGAGAAGAAAATCCCGGGGACAAACTGGGGGCATCCCAGCCCCAGGGAGAGTTCCCACCAAGAACAAGAACAAGAACTACAGAATCAAGAAATCTGAAAGGCCTTTTCTCCCAGTGAGCTAGATGGGAGAGACAGACCCAGGAACACTTGCTTTTGCATTTATTCCTTCGAGTCCGGGACGGGTTTATTTTCGCCCTCTTTCCTGCAGATACGACTTAGCTATTAAAGATCTTAAGGAGGCCTTGACTCAGCTTCGAGGGAACCAGCTGATAGACTACAAGATCCTGGGGCTGCAGTTCAAGCTGTTTGCCTGTGAGGTAAGGGCCCCGATGGCTCCGGTAGGTACAGTTGAGATACTCAGTGGTCCGCAGCGACTTCCAGGGGCTTATGAAAGCCATGTTGCTTCCCGTGCCTCAGGGCTCAGGTTTTCCATTAAAAAGAAGATCTGGATGGGCTGGTAGGATAGCTCAGTGGTACAGCACTTGCCTGGCATATGTGAGGCCCAACATTTGATCCCCAGTGTAGAAAGAGGAAGAAAGGAAGAAAGACTCAAATGAGTTCAGGGTCATCAGAGTCATTAGTTGGTGTGAATTTTGTTAATATTAGGCTCCAAGGGCAAAAATGAGCCCAATGGGCTCTCACAGGGAGATGACAGGACTGTGTCACCCTAAGAAAGCATTCATCATAATTGGCGTGTTTTGTTTAGCRATCCAGGTTGACAAGCTGTTTGCTCAGCACTCACACATCCAAAATCCCAGCCTCACTCTCCACGCAGCACCTTCCTGCCGTGACCTTGCTGTTTCCAGACCACACTCCTACTATCAGTGGTCTCGACCATGTGTTTGGTTGACACCCAAAGAGAAAAGGAGGATACTTTGGTACAAATCTGTCCCCTCTTGCTCCCAGAACAGCTCAAAGCACCAATTTAGGTCAAGGTTTCCATAGAAGGACAACTTTCTTTTCTGTATCACCAGAAAGGACAGACATGACTTGGCAGGTTCATGTCATTTTTCCAAACCAACCTCCCCACCCCCTCCTGCCCCCAAGTCCACACCCGTAACTTTAAAAACAAAAATCCCTGCAAATGTCAAGGATCTTTATTTAGAATAATTGCTGAAAAAAGTCTCCTTGCTTTAGTTTCTCAGGCACAAGAAGTCAAGTGTTCCCAGGGTCACTCAGGGCTAAAAATAAGAGTCCACAGCTGCCCAGGGTCCCTGGGGACATGTGGCCTCATGTCAGCCCTAGAGCAGGCTAGCGGCTTTTCTTTACCTCTCACAGACTGGACAGATGAGGCTTGGTATTGGAGCTGGCTGTGCTAGAGGCGAGCTGTTACGGTGGACCTGGTGATGCTGGCCTCTGGGCTCTGCCCTCTAGATGCCAAGGCACCCTACCCTCAGTTGTGGCGGTGAAACCATCTCAACGTTGCCAGTCACCCCAGTACCACTTACACGGAACACAGGGTCGGGGGGTCAAGTGGCACTRGAGAAAGGATCGTGCCCCAGTGGCATCCCAGCAGAACTCCATGAAAGGGACATCCTCCCTGTAGCAGAGGTTGAAATGACCCGAGGAACAGGAAATGCTGACTGAGAGGGTCTCCTTGCAAGTGGAGCTCCATCTTTGGGGACCTGAGGCCCTCTATGTGGCAGTCATTTCTCTATTTCTAATTCCGTTCCTCTTATCCCACTGGGTTTCACCTCCTCGCCTTCTGAGAAATCACAGCGGTCTTGTCAAGGAGTCTCAAGGTTTTTCTAGTCACCGAGTCGCAAAAATTGTTGTGGGTAATGGTTTCAAGAGAAGGTGGCTGAGAACCAAACAGGAAGTTCTGAGCCCCCTCGAGTTCTGCTTTCCTTTCTACCCATGGTTAAGAGCAGCTGAGCACATACAGATGCTTCCAGACCTGTGCAGCTCAACCCATCTTAAATTTATTTATTTATTTTTTTAATATTTTTATTAGTTGTTGATGGATCTTTATTTTATTTACTTATCTATTTGTATGTGGTGCTGAGACTCGAACCCAGTGCCTCACACATGCTAGGTAAGAGCACTACCACTGAGCCCCAGCCCCAGCCCCCTCATCTTAAATTTAAAGTACCCTAAGTTGAAAATGCATGTCATGCACCTGACTTACTGACCGTCACAGCTTGGCAACATGGTCCACTGCAGGGTGGGGACTGTTCCCCCATGATGGCTGGGTTACTGGGAGCTGGGGCTCACTGCCGCCACCCAAAGTGCAAGTCTGTTGTAGTGTATATTGCTGGACCAGGAAAAGATCAAATTAAAAAATTGCAGTACCTTTTCTGCTGGATGCACATTACTTTTATACCATTGTAAAGTAAAAAAAAAAAAAAGATTGGGTCCTATTTGTAAGTTGTGATGCATTGCATGATAATAAAACGCACATCTAGAAACCTACAACTCAACTAAAGGCCTGGAACATGACGATGGTTAACCTGCCACCTCCCCACCCAGGACAAGCACTCGCCTAACTCTTTGCTGTCTCTTCCTGCTTCACTGCACCTTGCCCCTGGAGCTTCCTTATATACATTGCTAGATTACAGTGAGACTCCTGTTCTAGAATCTTCTCCACCCTGCACCTGTCCTGTGGCTCAGCGCAGGCTCAGAGGCAGGAACTGGACTGGGAGGTCACACTCCTCTCTCTGCCTCTTCAAGGGGCCTTGGGCAAGTCACTCATCTCCATACTAAAACCACACAGTCCCCTTGAGCTTTTGTCCCCTTGGGCCCCCTTTGGTTTGGGAAGAAYGTAGAGATGTTGACTGACACACCATGAGAYGCTATCTTAGCACCAGGCTAGTGATTGACAGAACTGGGTAGCAAGACTGATGTGCCCCCCAGGGGAGCTGGGAGGGGAAGTGTCCCAGGTGCCATGCCCTGTGTGTAACGTGCCCTTTGCTGGCACCTTGGTGGGAAGGAGCCTCAAGCTTTCTGCTGCGGCCTCTGCCTTTCCAGGTGTTGTACAACATCGCTTTCCTCTATGCCAAGAAGGAGGAATGGAAGAAGGCCGAAGAGCAACTCGCACTGGCCACCAACATGAAGTCTGAGCCCAGGCACTCCAAGATCGACAAGGCCATGGAAAGCGTCTGGGTAGGTGTGTGGGGAGGGGAGGTTTCCACGGTTCTCACTGTGGTTCTTGCTGCATCAGGGCTGAGTCTGGGCTGCCCTGCTCCACGCTCAGCATGAGGCCACTGAAGCTTTGAATCTGGGCCGAGAAGCCAAGGACAAGAGCACAGGGTRGCAGAGCCCTTGAAGCCCTTGTAGTGGGGATCCTCGGCAGCCCTGCACCCCTGGGCAGCAGGATGTTGGAGGCTGAGCAGGGCTGTGAGGGCAGAGGCTGCTTGCTTTTGAGTCCTAGCAGCCTGGCACAGAGCCAGCACAAATGGCCCTCCACAAACGTCTTGATTAGAGGCATAAATAGTAAAAATGAATGATAGTCTGAGCACGTTGGGAATGAAGTTTTAAATAGGATTTTTTTTGCTGGGACAGGTACTGGGGATTTAATCCAGGAGCACCTTACCACTGAGCTACACCCCCAGCCCTTTCTTTCTATTATTTCTTTCTTTCTTTTTTTTTTTTTTTTTAATTTTGAGACAGGGTCTCCCTAAGGTGCTTAGGGCCTTGCTAGGTGGCTGAGGCTGGCCTTGAACTTACAATCCTCCTGTCTCAGCCTCTGGAGTCACTCGGATTACAGGTGTGCACCACCACACCAGGCTTAAGTAAGATGTTTAAAACACCAGGAAGAGTGTTCAAGTCACATCCATATCACCAACGCTGGTCCCAAGACAGCAAGGGAAGGTTCTTGACATTTTGGTCAGCGGCCGATCCCATGTCCAGCAGGGGCCGTAGCATCTAGGGCTGTGTGTTGTAGAAGGAGTCTAGTGAGGGCTGTGGAAGTAGAGGGAGTCCTCAGAATCCTGAGAAGTAATGACAGAACTGAGCCTAGCTGGTGCCGTTCACACAATGACCAGACAGCACCTGTCTCCGAGGGTGTTGCCATTGCTAAGTGACGGGTGACTGTCCTTTGCCGTCTGTGTTTCAGAAACAGAAGCTGTATGAGCCTGTGGTGATCCCCGTGGGAAGATTGTTTCGTCCAAACGAGAGACAAGTGGCTCAGCTGGCCAAGAAGGATTACCTGGGCAAGGCCACGGTAGGTGGGATCACATTCCACCTGAGTCCTGTGCCCAAGGTCGTGCGGGGCAAGGTGGGAAGGACCTTGGAGGACGGGGTGTCCTCTGCRGCTGTGTGGACAACGGCATTGCTTGGTGAGGACGGGGCAACCTCTTGGGCTTATCTTCCCCAGGCCCCTTCTCATTCCTCCCTCCCAACCTGATGAGTGATCCCTGAGGGTGGCTCTCCGGGTGCTGAGGGCTGGGGCTGATCCAGGGGAAGGAAAGCACAGCCACACGGGCTCCTAACTGTGGGAAGGACCAGCGTGACAGTCCTAGGCTCAGTTCTGTCATTCAATTCTCAGGATTCTGAGGACTCCCTCCACTTCCACAGCCCTCACTAGACTCCTTCTTAAACTGGATTCCTTCTGAATCGGGTTAGAAATCCTCTTGGCCATGATTCAAAGTGTCTCACCAGTCCCCTTCCAAACTGCACCTGACTTTAATACATTTGGATGGCTAAGGTGCTCGATAGCTGGGCAGCTGGGATTGGCACAGTGGCAGAGGCCAAGAGAGCCTAGGTTAACGGCAATACCCCAAATGTCTGTCCATGGAGGAATGGATCAGCAAAATGTGATATGTCCACACGGTGGAATATTCCACGGCCATAAAAAGGAACAAAGTACTGATATATACTTCAACATGGATGAGCCTTGAAAACTAGGCTGTGCCTGAGAAGCCACACATTTAACATCACATGTTATAAACTTTCTTTTATGTAAAATATTTGAACAGATAAATCACAGAGATAGAAAACAAGGTAGTGGTTGCCAGGCTAAGGGAATGCGGACTAACTGCTAAATGGGTACAGCGTTTTCTTCAGGGGTGATGAAGATGTTTTGGAACTAGTAGAGGTGTTAGCTAGACAGCACTGTGAATCTGCTAAATGCTACTGAATGGTTCACTTACAAAGATTAATTTGATATTCTATGAATTGCACCTCAATTTAAAAATTCTGTTTTCAAGAGAAGGCATTGGGGATATAGCTCAGGCCCTGGGTTCAATCCCTAGCACCAAAAAAAAAAAAAAAAAAAAAAAAAAAAGAGAGAGAGAGAGAGAGAGAGAGAGAGAGAGAGAGAAATATTGGGATATTGTAGCTCAGTGCTATAGCACTTGCCTAGCATTTAAAAGGCCCTGGGTTTGATCTCTAGCCCTGAAAATTAATAGTAATAATAAATTAAAATTTAAAAAGCGAGTTTGGGTTATCGTTGGTGAGAAGAGTACTAGTCTCTCTGGTCACTGGAACTTCTGATCCGGAGGTCAGCAGGCTGACCCTTAGCCACTGTGCTCTTCTGATACCTGCACGAGTGGGCATGGACCTGTGATGTGGGGAAGGAGGGGTCTTGGGGAAGCATCTGGCCGAGCCCTCACGCCCCGCTGCCCTTGATTCCAGGTTGTGGCGTCTGTGGTGGACCAAGACAGCTTCTCCGGGTTTGCCCCTCTGCAACCACAGGTGAGTGGATCTGGGTCTTCAGGGCAGTGCTGAGCGGCCCTACTGTAAGGTCTACGGGTGCCGCTAAGAGTGTCCACCTGCCCGTTCTCAGGCCCAGCTCCCAAGGCATGGGGGGATAAGCCCAGGTCAGCGTAACTGCATGTCCTCCTGCTTCCCCAAAATACCAGTTCTCACTTCTCTAAGTTCAAAGAGATCAGTTGATTATCTTGTGAAACTTTCCTTGACCATTTTCTCAGAAAATTGAAATGCAAGCTGTGGAAGGCTTTTTATTATTAATGTGCAGGACTGGGGATCGAACCCGGGGCCTCTGACTCTTGTTGGGTCAGTGGTTAGTGGGGGAATCCTGTGGGCCCAGGGCTTGAGGCCTTGGGCCATCCTGGTACCATCCATTTGCCCGTGTTCAGGAGACTCCCCTGTATATACATGAGCCCAGCTGTGGCGGAACTGTGGTGGGCGAGACCTYGGTCAGCACCGACTGAGGGAGGGTTTCTGACCAGAGGACCCAGGCTGCAGTCACACTCCCAGGGCCACTGAGGGTGACCAATGCTGGGGCTCTGGGGCACAGGATAAGTCAAGAGGGATGCGGAAAGGCCAGTGTGTGGGTTGCTGGACCTCAGCTTTCGCCATAAAGTTGAAGAAGGCCTTGCTGGGCTTCAGTTCAGCTAAGGACAACCAGAGGGGACAGACACCCAGAGGACCAGACTCTGTGATATTCAGCGTAGAAGAGAGAACATGTATTGAAAGCAGATTCTTTCCTGATCAGCGGATCCTGAGTTGATTTTAAATACCAGACATGGCACGTGATACCACAGACATTAATTATAGAACACTTTTGGAAAGTGTCCTGGGAAAAGGTCAGAGCTCAAGGTCGTAAGCCCTCCCTTGATGCCACGTCGCCCTGTGCTGGCTCACCTCCAGAAACCAGCTCTGGCTTCATGTGCATCCCATGTGCCGGGAGCTGGCGAGAGGGAGAACTTTGCCTTGTTCCATCAGGGTACACCGTGCTTCCCCCGAGACAGGGTTCCATCAGTCAGAGACGCAGTCTTGGATGCTCTCGTCTGGAAGAATGTTCCAACCACCATTAACAGTCTGCTCTCTTTCCCCTGCTTCCCCCGCTGTCTTCCCCTTCTTCATTTCTCCTGAATGTACCACAGGCAGCTGAGCCTCCACCCAGACCCAAAACCCCAGAGATCTTCAGGTAAGTTGATTCAGGTCCAAGTGTGGAAGAGCCAATCGCCAAGCCCGTGTCGGTGGTGTTAAGAGGGTGAAGGAGCTGAAGCTGGGGTCAGGTCTAAGTCTGTTTCCAAGGTTAGATCAGAGTGATAGTAGGAAGGAGGGGTCTCGACTGGAGCAGGGCAGAGCATCGGGGCCTGGCTGCCGCTCTGTGGTGTCCCCATGTCCGTGGGCACTGTCACCCACACACTGAGGGGTTGTTGAAGGGCAGCAAGGTCCAAGGTCCCATGGAACATGGCCCAGGTCAGAGAAGAGGTGGAGGTCAGAGGTCTCTGAAGTCAGGAAACTAGATGGGTACCCCCTTTCCTGCGTGGGGGTTTTCCATTCTCTATTGCCACATGTTTTCTGAGAAGTAAGAGGAAGGACTCAAGAACAGGAAGTCATCCTTCTGTAAGACGAGAAGCAAAGAGTGAGGTAACCTACCGCTTTCTTAAGAATTCCCTCTCCGTAAAAAAGCAAGCCCAAGCCGAGCGTCCACACCATAAAGGAGGTTAGAACAGTACCAAGTGAGAGCAAGTACCAAGGTGACAGCTGGACGAGGTCCTCTCTAACCCTCTGGCTCAGGAGTCTGTGTCCCCTACAGGAAAAGCTGGGATGTTTGGAATCAGAAGGGAGGGCRGTGTGGGCCGAGACTGGGGACCTTGAAGCCAGCCTCACCCACACCTTCCAAAGTGCACCACTGAGACGCCCCAGAGTGTGGAGGAGTCGAGTGGACCCTGAGCAGAGTCGAGGGGAAGGCCGTGCCTGGCACAGCAAGGCAGCTGCAGGACCCTCCGCACACATCTCAGACTTCCCACGCCTCGCCTCTCTCCATCTTCATCCTCCTGCCCCTACCCTGGCCCAGCTGCCCGAGGAGACTCTCCTCCCTCAGAATTCACCATCCATTTCCTTGCTCAGCTGCTCTCACCTGACTTCCACCTTAGCCAGTCCCCTGCCTCACCCCCATGACCCATCTCTGCCCACACTTGGGACCTGGCCAAGCTTACCCAGCCAGGAAATCTCCTCAGAAGAGAGGAGATTGTAAGGTCCATTACCTATAGCTATTTTGTTTTATTCTTTAAAAAGTTTTCCTGGATGACTTTATTCAAACAAGCAGRAACCTGTCATTCCTTGTCTTTTATTCTTGTCCCACTGCATGTATCGTTGCTCCCCTTTAACTGCAGTTTGGCTTTCCCCAGTTTCTGTTACCTATGATCYACCACAGTCCACAAATCTTAAATGAAAAACTCCAGAAATAAACAAATCATAAATTTTTAGTTGCATGCCATTGGGTAGTGTGATGAAATTTCACTCACACTTCACACTCTTGAGCTGTCAATCATCCATTTGGTTTGTCCAGTGTATCCATTCGGTATATGTTACCTGCCCGTTAGTTGTTTAGTAGCTGTCTATGCAATCAAGATTATCTCAGTATCACTTACGTTCAAGAAGCAAGCTCAAGGGTGGTGATACCAGCAATTTGCTTATATAAAGAGAAGCTGTAAAATGCTTGCTTCAAGTGAAAGAAGCAAGTGCTCACCTTAATAAGGGTAAAAAAGTTATAATGCTGACCTTGCTAATATCTACAAAAGGAACAAATTCTTCTATTTGTGAAATTGTGAAGAAGGGAAAAGAAATTTGTGCTGGTTTTGCTGTCATACCTCAAACTATAAAAGTTTTAGCCACAGAATGTGAAGTGTTTAGTTTCCTATACCTACAGTTGTGTACGTAGGTATAGGAAAAAAAAATAGTATTCATATAGTTGCTGCCTCCAAGTCCATTATGCTTGTCCCACAGCACCACATGACGGGGTGTGGTCCAGGCTCAACAGTGCAGTGGATCTTGTGTCTGCCCCTGCAGGGCTCTGGAAGGGGAAGCTCACCGGGTGCTGTTTGGGTTCGTGCCTGAGACACCAGAGGAGCTCCAGGTCATGCCAGGGAACATCGTCTTCGTCTTGAAGAAGGGCAATGATAACTGGGCCACGGTCATGTTCAATGGGCAGGTATTCAGAGGATGGGGGGAGGTTTAAGGCCACAAGAACCCCGCAGCAATGGCAGGGCTTTCTGCCACCTCATTTGCAGAGTGGCCAGGTTCTCCTGTCTGTGTGCCATCCCTCCCAGAAGCTCTTGGTCTTCTGAGGTATGGACACTGACAAGCATATTTTTGTTTTCTTCTTTCTGATTCTCTGACGCTGGGCTGCAGAAGGGGCTTGTTCCCTGCAACTACCTGGAGCCTGTCGAGCTTCGAATCCACCCTCAGCAGCAGCCCCAGGTAATCAAACGCTAATGCCCACCCACCTCCTCCCTTCCTTTGCAGAACTCCCTCTGGATGGGAGAAGGTAGTGAAAGAGATGTTGGTGCTGTCACTAGTTGGTCCTGGGCTGGATRARTTGCTCAGAGCTGAACCTGGGGAYGAGGGAAATGGTCAAGATGTGCTGAGTGGGGGATCTAGAGGACCCACRGGGCCCATCCATCTCTGAGACCTCTGGGGTGACTTAGAAACCAGAGCCTACAGTAGACAAGAGCTAGTCCTCCTAGATCTGGCCTCTTCATCAGGAAGAAGAGTCAACATGCTGGTTGGTGAGATGCACTTTAGAGCTTTAGAGCTGCAGAGCAGCGCTGAGTCAGAGCAGTCGCTGCCTCTGAAGCTGCTACCCAGCCCTTCTGCCAGACTACAGTGTACTTTGTTGGCCCTGAGTAGATGTGTAAATGATCCCATGGCAGCGGGACCTGTCTCCCTCCAGACCCTGTGACCAGTTGTATAGGGGCTCAGCCCTTCCTGGTCATCACCATATCCAGGTGTTTTGAAAAGTTTCAAATGTGATGCAGATGGGACATGGAATTTTTCCTTTCTTGTGCCCTCTGCAACTGAGACAAGAGCACAGCCTACTACCCCATCTCCAGTGGATTTCCAGTACTGTGGAAGGGATGCAAGGTGGAAGGGCTTCGTAGATGGCTTTAGGATGTCTATTTCTACTGTGATATTTCCACCTCATTGGGCCAAGCTTGCCTCCTCTCTCAGCCAGCATTTCCCTTAGTCTTCCTGAGTGACGTCACCACCCCAACTTTTAGAAAGTCATTTGCATCTGGCTCCTTTCATGACCCCTTACCCCCAAGAGTTTTGTCCTAATGARGGTTCTGACCATCTCTTTCTACCTCTTGCAGGAGGAAACTTCCCTGGAGTCTGAAATCCCACCTCCTCCTAGTTCCAGTGCCCCAGGAAGACCCCAGTTGTCTCCAGGTAAGTGGCCCAGGGGCACTCCAGGCTGCTTCCGACTAAGGTGCTCTCCCCACCTCCCAGGAATTTCTGGTTTCTCTTCTAGGAACAGCTTATGACCATAGAGTCCCAGAGCCCCCTCTTGCCTGCACTCACCCACCCCAAACCCGAGACCCACGCCCTCTCCCTGCCTGCTCCAGAACCCTGGGAGCGTGGGTGAATGTGCAGGTTTCAGCGCAGTGTGTCAGCCCTCAAGTAGGCACCAAACCCCTCCTTTGATAAGTTCAGAACCACTCACAGAATAAAAGGATCAGCAATTGCACCTTTTCACCTCAGAGGGACGTGGATGGCTTTTAAAATATCTGAGGAGCTGTACCTTGGAAAGAAACTGCTTTGTAGTGCCCTGGGGCATGGACAGAGCCGTGGCAGATGTGAAAGGGAGATTGTTTCTCCAGGAGCATCTCCCTGAGGTGGAGAGGGCTGTCTGGGGAAGTGGAGGGATTTTTGTTACTGGTGCAGTTTAAGCACGTTCTCATAGAGAGAGCTTTGTCTTTGACCTCTGGTCATCAGAATCACTCAGGTTGTACCCTCCCGTGTTTTTATTTTGAAAAATTGCAAACCTTCGGAAAGGTTGGAAGTAGTGTGTAATAGATACCAGAATGCCYTTCACCTAAGTTCACCAATTGTTTCCATTTTGCACCAAGCACTCGCCCTGCTTCCCTCTCTCTCATTTTCCCCCTGAGCCTTGACTTTCCTAAAAACAGTGCAGTCTTCTGTGGGACCACAACACGATCTGGGACATTCAGCACTAACATAATGACTTCATATAATGTATTTTCCACATGTAAATTTCTTCAATTGCCCTGCCCACCATATCCTTATAGTTTTTTTTTTTTTAATCTTTTCTGTCTAGAGGTTCATTAAGGATGACTTATTATCCTAGGAAGATTTTAAGAGTATGGATTCCTGGGTCTTTGATTCTGTTTTTTTTTTTTTTTTTTTAAAGACAGGAATGAAACTATTTGCATTTTTAGCAAAAACTCCCCAAATTATTCTAATAATCAGCCGAGCTTAAGATCTGTTTTTTTTTAATGCACCTCCTATAGTATCTTCTATTTCTTGCAAATAAATTATATGCACACTACATTAATACATTATGTATGTTAAAAAACATACAAAAAATATAGGACAAGGTAAAAAATAAGTGGTTATTTTCCTCTTGAGGTCTCTTGRGGTCTCTGACTCATCCCTCACTCACATGCTTTTCATGGCTTTGGTCCCACTGGTTTACTGACTTTGGGGACTTGTGCTAACCCCTGTGGTGTAAGGATGTGCTAGTCCTTTGAAATTACCCTCAGGCTCCTAGAAGCAGAAGCTGGGGTTGTTCAGGTGTTGGTGACTTTCATGCTCTCCCAGRGTGAGCTTTTCCCACAGTTCCCTATGGCTAACAATTTCCCCTGAGGCTCTAGGCAGGAAGYGGGTGCTGCATCCTAAGGGGTTCCATTAGCTGGCCAGGAGAGTTCATTGACCACCTTCTTTTGTTTTACTCCTTACCTTTTCCATTTAGGTCAGAAACAAAAAGAAGAGCTCAAGGTGAGTTTTTCCTTGCACTGCTTCAAGTGGGAGAAGAGGGAAGAGCTGGAGGTGTCAGCCATGGAGTCCCAAGGGAATGGTGGAACCAGGTGCCCTCTGGCAGAGTCCATGGGCTGGGGACCCCCTCAGCCACCACCCCCACCCCCACATACACATTTTGTCCTAGCTCATAGCTAGGTGACCAACTTTGGTTCCGTGGCCTAGAGGACCTCTGCAGGTTGCGGGACACTAAGGAACCTGGGCTTGCCAGTCTCTCCCTGCAGCTGGGTTACTTCCTGGGCCAAAGTACAGCACCACAGTGATCTAGGATGGTGCTGAAAGCCGCGACACTTCAGGAGTTCCCTTTGCTTCCTCCTCCCTCAGGAAGTGAAGCTCAGCGTCCCCATGCCCTACACACTCAAGGTGCACTACAAGTACACAGTGGTCATAGAGACACAGCCTGGGCTCCCGTACAGCCAGGTCCAGGACGTGGTGTCTCAGAAACTGGACTTGCTGCCAGAACACACTAAGCTGAGGTGAGCTACCTGCAGGGGGCACTCAGGGGCAGGCTGTGGGCCTCATGCTGGCCCAGAGCACAGAGGGGGTGTCTTCCTTGCTGATGTCCTTACTTGTGGTCTCAGCTATAGGCCCCGGGACAGCAATGAGCTGGTGCACCTTACGGAAGAAAACATGAAGGATGCCTGGAGCCACGTGAAAAACTACTGCCTGACTCTTTGGTGTGAGAACACAGTGGTGAGTGCAGTGAGCCCTAAGATCCCTTCCACTGAGCCACTTCCTCAATGCACCTTCCTAAGGCACCACAGCGTGTGCTTAGTGTTGGGGATACGGTGGGGAATAAGTTGCAGCTCTGACTCCTTTTTATCTGCATCTTCACCCCAGCTGGGTCCCCCCCGCAACTCAAGAGAAAAAAAGCCAGGYTCCAGAGGCCCAGCTGCCCACACAAAGCCTGGTCACCCTCCAATGGTTGTCAGGCCTACTTAGGACACGCATCATGCACATCACTATAGGACAAGGGCTGGAGCAAAATCACAGCTCGAGGCTGAGGTCACTGCCATTCTTCATCTTCAGCTTCCATGGGGGAGGTACTTGAAGGTGAATGAAGGAAAACAATTTATCTCACAAAGAGATGGTTAGGGCAACAGCCTCCTATTAATAGCGAACATCACCAAGAACTTCCCACGGCCAGATACTGTGCCAGCATGTTCTGTATATGAATTCTTAGGATCGTCACAACTCTACGAGGTACATGATCAGGAATCAGGGCAGAAAGAGGTCAAGCAACTTGCCGAAGGTTGTACTGCTGGTCCCTAGTGGAGCCAGGGCTGTGGCAGGCATTTTGACTCCAGAGCCTGGCTGTGTTCACAGGCACCAGGCTGTACTGACAGGATGAGGGCAGGTTATCTTAGAGCCCCGAGATTTGTAAGTTACCTTTCAAGTAAAAATGATAGGAATCAGAAGTAAAGTGAGAGGCTAGAATTGGTAACCAGGAGGTAACATGCTTGAAGTTTGTCCCTTAATCTCCAGAGGAAAAGTTGCCCTTCTTTTCTGTTGTGGATGTTAACTCCACACTCCCCTGGCCCCTCCCCTCCTCCCCCCCMAAAAAACTACCCATAGAAAGCCCCCAGCGTCCTTGATGTTAATCCCTCCCCAGAAAACTATCCGTCTGCTTTCTGTCAATATACTGTTCTCTTATATATCTCATTATAAATGAATTATACAATATATATGGTCTTTTAGCTTTCAGCAATCCAGTAATCCCTTCCTTTTGATTGCTAACTGGTATTCCATAGCATGAAGACCACCATTTATCTATTTACCTGTTGGCAGACATTTGCCTAGAAAGGGCTCTTTACTCTAAATGTGAACAATTTCACTTAAATAATTTTTAAAAATGAATTTTTCCCCCCGTGATGAGGTTAATCTGTTTAGTGGCTATATGTACCTAACCCTCCCCATATTCCAAATGCAGTCTTTTGGAACTCATCCAGGCTCAGGGATCACTGTTGAATGCTCTGTCATCATCTGTTARCCTGAAGGCAGTAAGTCAGTTGGCTCTCACTGAATTAACAGGGCCTTTATTTCAGGGTGACCAAGGCTTTCTAGACAAATCCAAGGAACATGAAAAATGTGATTCTAATCAGAAAATGGAACCTCAGTTTAAGGAAGGCAGCCAAGTGGTAGCACTCTTCAGCTACGAGGCTACCCAACCRGAGGACCTGGAATTCCAGGAAGGGGACGTAATCCTGGTTCTATCAACAGGTAAGTGTTACTGCTTGACCACAGAACTCAACTCATACATTAGCAGAAACAAGGTCAAGGGCACAGAGAAGTAAACACTGATATCCCTCAAACCAAACTTCATAGGGGTTTCAATCTCCTTTCCCTGTCTGTCCTAATAGAGAAGCAACATGGATGTGATTTTGCTATTAAAAGACAGCTGAGCTTTGGAACCATGGATTTTCACTCCAAGAGTTAACAAATTGCCTGGAATCATTTTGCCTTTATACCAAACCATAGATCTATGAAGTCACACACTTCCCAAAGAGGAAGAGAGGAAAAAAAAAAATTTTACCTGAAAAATCTCTCTGGATTCCGTTAGGGATCAAAAGATTAAAAAGTCAATCTGAGCCAAGCATGGTGGTGCATGCCTATAATTTCAGCAACTTGGGAAGCTGAAGCAGGGGGATTACAAAATTTGAAGCCAGCTTCAGCAATTAAAAGGGCTCTCAGAATTAAAAGGGCTRGAGGTATAACTTAATAATTAAGTGCCCTGTGTTCGATCCCCAGTCCCACAAAACAAATGAACAAAAAGAAAGTGGAGTTCTAATTTAGTAATTCTAAAACTTTAGTATGCCCAAGAATCCCTTAAAGAGCCTCCTGAATGGAGTTCCTTCGCCTGCTTCCCAGATTTTGGTTCAGACCTAGGGAGGGGCCCACAAATTGGTACTTCTATAACCAGCTCCCAGGTGATCCAGGCCTACACTCTAAGAAACAGTCCTAATTCATGGTTGGGTAGTCCCATTTATTTACCTGGGTGCAACAGATTCCCATCCTGAAAAGCCTTGATCACAAGATTAAAACGCTGTGCTTCAGTGATGCGAAGTAGTGAAAAACCATTATAATTACAGTAGAAACCCCAACAGATTAAGAAATCAGTGAGAGATTCTGAAGTTAATGAATATATAAGTGTGTGACAATGAACTCAAACAGAAACAGCAGCAGAGCACCCTGCAGTGCATTTCATTCAGGGGAGATTGGAAACTGGATCTTGAGAACCTCAGTGCCATTTTCTAAGGACCACTATCAACCAGTCAGCTAAACTCTTCAAAACGTTTCAATTTTTGTTTGGGTATGCCAGTGATGAGATAAAAATGAGAGAACATGCAGGGTGAGGATGTAGCTCAGTGGAAGAGCACTTGCCTAGCCCGTGCATGCAGGAGCCCTAGGACTCATCTCTAGTACCACAAAAGCCCAAACCATACATATGCAAGAAAACCCTGGGAAGAGAAGGCAATGTACTTCCTACTCTGATATGTACCTAACTGGTTTAAGAAACCACCTGAGGGTACTCTTGGAAAAACTGACGCTCAACCACACTCCATCCTAATTACAGAATCTCTTGAGGGCAGGATCCGTGCAGTTGAGCTCTGTCTTACACTCACTCAAAGATGAATTCTGAGTGGCTTGTGTGGTTGATAGATGGGCTTTGGAGGTTATACCCAAGTCATCTAACATTTACTGGTAGAATGGCTCTGAATAATCTCTGGGCCTCCTTTTCCTTAGCAAAATGGAGTAAAAGATAAACTTGAGTAATTATTAAGTCTGAGCGTATGTACACCCTCATACATCTATTTTTCATTAAAGGCTCAAGAAAGGGGCTATGAACCCATTAAGTCCCAAGTTCTCAATTCTACAATTATTTCAATGAAATTGACATARTTGCACTGTTTTGAAATCATAATCAGGAGTTCATCATATAACTCATCATCATTAATAAAAGAATGGTAAAAAAGTTTATTTCAAAGTTACTATAAGTGGCATATTTGTTGCTCAATTTGTTTTATAGGAATTCCATATATGAGACAACGGGACATAATATGTTAAAATTCTTATATTTTATAAAATGTACTAAACTATCACTAGTTCTAACTCCTGTTTTGATGAATTCTGTATTGGAAACTTTCATTTTTAATATATTTAACCAATGGCATGCCCCCTTTTCTGTCATCAAAATGAACATTCCCAGCAAAGCTCAGATGGTCCATTTCTTTCACCTTATTTCTCTATCTGGTAACTTTCTGAAAAATAGAATTCAGGGCTTGGGCTGTAGCTCAGTGGTGGAACACCTGCCTTGCACGTATGAGGCACTGGGTTCAATCCTCAGCACCATGTAAAGATGTTGTGTCCATCTACAACAAAAAATACTTACAAAAATTCAACTCATTCTTCTTTTACCCGTTATCATGTTTAAGACAAAAATCACTGAGATGCTAAAACCTATGTTCACTCTAACATCAAATCCCTTTCCAACACCACCTTCCCCGTTACCACAATGTGGGGGAGGGGTTACTGACAAAAGCATGGAATACCTGAAGGGGGTAATTTTCCTCCTCTGGATTTAGTAACCGATATTTACTTTCCCTTTTTTTCAGTGAATGAAGAATGGTTGGAAGGGGAGTGTAAAGAGAAAGTTGGCATTTTCCCTAAAGCCTTTGTTGAAGAGTGTGCAACTACAGATTTGGAGAACACTCCTAGAGGAGTCTAGGATATTTCACAATCTACCAAGAAGAAAAAAGTCTATTATTTGTTTGCAAGATTTACCACACCTCTGACGTACACTATACTACAACATTACAGTTTGTAAGTGTTCATTAACCTAAATTTTCCCTGTTAAAGTTGAACTATTAGACAATGATATGAGATCTTCTCAGGATGAAGATTTCCTGGTACATGGAGTGGGGGAGTGAATGTCTGAAGATTTCCTGGTACATGAAAGGGGGTCCTCAAGGATGTGACAATATGGTTTTTGTTTAGTGCTAGCTATCCAGATGGGTTCACTTTGTGAAAATTGAGTTGCATGTGTAATTGGTGCACTTTATATGCATGATACCTCAATAAAAATCTTATCTCACAAAAATAAAGCAAGACATCCAGAGTCCAGGCTCAAGAGCTCAGTGGAAACATTCTTCTTCTTGTATCATTAATATCACATACTGAGGCCTGAAAGCAATTTCACAAGTTATTCAGAAGGCGTATACAGACAAAACTAACTTGTTCTTTTCTTACTAAAAGTTTCATTCCCACAGAATATAACATTCAATTCCCCAAAGAACTAAAATACTAGAATTACATCCCTTTATGCCTTCTCAGAGGGACATTTTTATAAAGAGTTCAATATTGAATATTTGCCGCTAATACTTGAGTTGGTTAATAGTAKTCTATGACTTTACACATTATAGTATTATCTTAATAAGAGAGATACATAATGTCAGTTTTATTTGGTCATCATTTGGGGTTGACTCAGGTGAAGGATTCAATAAATACTAGACCTTAGGACCTGACCTTAATTTTCCTCCGCCCCTTTTTCATGTAGCTATGTACGGCTTTGCTAACACATTTTCAAGTGTGTAGGTGCTTGTGAAATGCAGAGTTAGGAAATGAACTACSAGTGAATCAGCACCAAGGTGAAAGGACAATCAGTGTGAGCAATGGCTTCCAGCACACCGCTGAAGGCCCAGCAAACCACCAATTGGAATTCTGAACACAACTGGAAGAGAAGCCACCACAAGGCCAAGAATAGTAATTACTGTTGATGGTAACCAGATTTAGTGAATTTTATAGGCCCAAAGAATAAACTATCTCTGAATTGACTCTTTAACAGAACAGGGATAAAAATAGTGGGTATTACATAGTTCCTTTACAAAAGTCAATCATTCTTCCTTAAATAAAATAATTTTGAAAACCTGTTTCTTTCTGCCTCCCTTTCGATAATAATTCATTGGTATTTTGTTTGAATGATACAAAAAGCAAAAATAAACCTGCAAGTTCTGACCATCTTTGCTCTTCCCTAGACTACTTCTGCATAGGTGAAATTCTTTAAGTTGGATTTCCTTCAACACTGAATCTGTTAGGATAGAAAAGAAACAATCCGTACACAGATGTGGTTGGAGAGAACATGGTTTAATTAAAGGCAAAGCTGATTTCAGCAGCTGCAGGTCTCGCACAGACATACAAAAAACAAAACAAAACCCAAAACAAACCAAACAATCAACCCATAAAAGTAAGTTTACCACACAAAACCAATTTCTGATGAAGATTCTCCTTCCCCTCCTCATTACTCCACAGAGAGGATGACAAGGCGAGGAGCCCTGCCCCAAGAGTCAGAAAACATTCCAAACATCAAATTCTCATGCAGAATGGGGCTGTAGATGGGAACTGGGTACTACTGGGAGGGAGATGATAAGCCTGGTTTGCTTGTCTAGGGTGCAAGAATCAGTGACAGTTCAAACACTGGAATGTTGCAGCTGCCTGAATGCAGAGAGCTCAAACACACAAACTGGGTAAGGCAGTAGGGAAAGAGGCTTAGGAAAGAAGGAAAAGGAAAAAGGTGGACACAGTGAAGGGGCTGGAGAGAAGCACAAAGGGTTTCATATTGCCATTGGGTGGGGGCCTTCACCCTTTCAGACCTTTCAAAAAAAAAAAAAAAAAAAGAAAAAAGAAAAAAAAAACCCAGAAAACAAAAATCCCAACACCATGTCAAACTAAAAGAGCAATAATGTAAGCACAACAGGGACTCCAACCACTCTTTCTGAAGAGCAATGAGCATTATCTCACCCCTTTCAATTGCTGGGGTTGCCCAGACTCCAGTGACAACCGGGGCTCCTGGATGTGCTTTGCTCTGAAGCTGTTTTCCAGCTAAGTTCCACACTAACTCACACACTCATACACACAACCCCGTCCCTCTGGGAGAGCAGATGGGTATGTGTGAGCACTTGTATACACACACACACACACACACACACACACACACACACACACACACTCAAACACAGGAGAGACCTCCCAGAAAATAATCCCTACCTCTAGCACAGCAATTGGACATTTAGATTGTTTCCATAATTTCCCCTTAAAATATTACTTTTCCAGGAAACGACTAACAGAAACGCTGTCCTTCCGTTTCTACACAAGAACATCTTCAGTCCTCTTTCCTCCTAATAAATATCAAATAAAAAGTTTATTTTCCATTCTTTTGCCTTTTCCAAAACGGCCTTCGTTGTGTTTTCTTCTGTTCACGACGTGCATGTGTCCATGTTGCCTTGAATCTCACTGTCGAAGTGGAGGCTGGGAGGCTGCAGCTGGGCCGGGGCCTGGCCCCTCTGCGGCTGTGCAGACACCGTCACTTCCTTCTTCTTCAGACTGTCTTTTGGGTTCCAACTGTTGGACCCCATGCTGTTGCTTCTTGGCAAGATGTTGTACACATTAAGAATAAAAAACGATTACTAGCAAACAGCATAGGATTAAAAGGGGATGGAGACAGGCGCAGGAGGCTGGTAAGTAGGATGGGGGCACAAAAACCAACCAAACAAAAAATAACCACACTGAAAGCTTCTACCCATTAAAATGTGTCAGGCCAGAATGGATCAGCCTGCCTTCTGTGGGACTGCTTGCTAGGCTACCGCAGAAGGTACAGGAATCAAAAACGTAATTTGAAATCCTACAGCAGTCACCTGCTAGTCCAGCCCAGCACCACTACCCATACCGTATCTGGGGGCTCGAGCACCTACAGAGTGAAGGGCATTTCCTGCTGGAATCTCCAGGCCAGAAGAAGGTCCTACCCAGGACCTTCTACAAGGCCCTGTACTCTCCCTTATGGAACACTTCCACTGGCTAAAGAGGTCGGTTCCCCATCCTGTCACCACCAACCTCTCACAGGAGCAGTGAATAGGGCTGTCCTTGCTACACACTGACTAGAAGCACACCTGTGTATGGAAGAATTCAGTGTGATAATTTACTACTGAGAGTAATAACAATAATAAAAGATGTTTAGGAATAATTTCAACTACATTCTCAGTCAGCAAAGCAATCATTAATGGATTCCTATTTTATTCCCCAAAGAGGAAAAAAGGACTGAGAAGTTCCCATTGGCTTCTCCCATCTGCCTTCCCTTCTCAGCTTTCACTTCCCATGTGGCTGGGGACATGCACGATGGAGAAGGTGAGAGGTGGTGATATCAAGTAACTGAGTGAGACAAACAGCAGTTCCTCTCTCCCTCCGGAAGGACCTGGGGGGACGGAGAGTTCCTGATGGATTTTTCTTTTTGTTGCACTGCGAACATTTCGTGCACACTCAGCGGGCTGGTGGAACACTTACACCCTCTTGATAGCAAGAAACAGACAAGAGGGCTGCCACCTGCAGGGGACTGTGTGGGCCAGTCCTGCAAACCCAACATGCCATGGTTTATGGAGCCTTCATTCCCAGGGTTGCCACTTTGGCCTCAGTGTGGAGGGTTCATGGTGCCTTGTCCCCGCTGCTGTTTCTGCTTCTGCTGCATTAACAACTGCTCCAGAGCGGAAGGTCCAGGATGCATCATGGAACTGGACCAGATAGACTGAAAAATAGCCCAGATCTTGTCAACAGAGGGATTTGTATATTAATCCCAGCCAACTATAACATGATATACTACCAAAAGAATGGGATCCTACTTAGATTTAACTTATACTATGTATAATACGTCAAAATATACTCTACTGTCATGTATATCTAAAAAGAAAAAGAAAAAAAAGACACGTATGTCTCAAGAACCCTACTTTGCCCCCTGAAACAACTACTATCACAAAGTCTTTATAATACTCTCAAGGCTAGTTAGTTCTGCGGGGTGCAGTGGTGCACACCTGTAATCCTAATGGCTCAGAAGGCTCAGATCATGAGTTCACAGCAAGCCTCAGCAACAGCAAGGCGAGGCACTCAGCAACTCAGTGAAACCCTGTCTTTCAATAAAATACAAAAAAAGAAAAAAGGACTGGAGATGTGGCCCTGTGGTTTAGTGCTCCAGAGTTTAATCCCCAGTACCAAAAAAAAAAAAAAAAAAAAAAAAAAATTCCTAGACTTTAACAACTGCTCCAGAGTGGAAGGTCCAGGATGCACCATGGAACTGGACCTGATAGATGAAAAACAGCCCAGATCAATTTTAAATTGGAAAAGGTGAAATTATGTTTTAGGTAAAATCTCTTTACTCAGCTCCATGTGGTACCACAGGGTATATTTGTAGTAGTCTATTTTAGGTAAACAAAAACATTTCTAATATGATATACTTTTCTTTCACTTGGTCAGAAAAGGTTTAAACCAAACACTGAAGGTGAATCAGAATTTTCTTAACTTTAGAATAAAACTAAAAGCTTTACATTTTGGATTCTGTGATGATATTTAATCACTAGTGAATTCACAAAAAAAAAAACAAAAACAAAAACAAAAAACCCTTCAAATTGCTAGGCTTCACGTGTTCCCAGGACTGCACTACACTTGGACTCTGCTTTAGGCAGCTCTAAGGGCACAGAAGCAAGCCTACTTACTTATGTGAACAAAAGTAGAGATTATCATGGCTGCCAGTCCTGGCTCTTGTTTTGGAAGTCTACTCACCTTTAGGCTTTCCATGAGGACAGCAGAGGAATCCTCCATGGAAGGGCCATGGCCTGTCCAGGTGCCACTTGGAGTACTGGCCTGATGCCAACTGTTCTCAGAGGATGATGTTGCTGAGAGATAATCAACGCCAAACCCACCCATGGCTAAGAGACAGAAAGAGATAAGAATTCAAGATGATGTTCTATCACTGCCAAATTCCAAACCACAGGTAAGGTTAGAGCAAGTTATCTCATTTTTTCTATATAATAAAGAGTGGATCTTACCTGGCTTATCAGTTTTCCACCGATCTGCAGTCCTCCTATCCCTGTTGTCTGGAGTCCCAATGGGTCCAAAATTGGAAAATGGAACAGAATTATGGTTGTGTGTTGGAGGAGAGCTGGGCAGACTGCTTGGGTTAGAGGAATGAGGAGACTGGCTAGCTGGTGTTGAGTGATCTATTAAATGATAGCAATACAGGTTATTTAATGGATGTTTCACAAAYATACCAAGAACCAATTATTTCCTGCAGATCCAATCATCCAAATTTTATTAAAAATAACCCCAGGGCTTTGGCAGAGAGGTAAACCCAGGGCCCCATAAGGGAGCCTGTGTAATGTACTAATTTACCTTAGTATGCCTATCTGAGGCACATTCTTTTCCTTAAATAGTACACAATTTTGTCAATTKAACATTATTCTGGCTTGTTTCAGATAAGTACTTACTTGGTTCTCCATCAGAAATAAAATTTCTTGGTCTTAAGAATATTGTAGAGTCAGACAATAAAATTGAGATTAAAAAAAATCTTACTTTGAAAAGTATAACTTTCCTTGCAAAGAATGAATATCTATAAACAAACTGTTAAAAAGCTGAAGCCATATGATATAGCCCATATTTCTGTCTCTTATATGCTGGTTATCTAGGATATAAAAAGCTTTTTTCAGTAGCATTTACTACACAAACTGGCTTATCAGTTCTTTTCCCTATTTTCTTTCAGAAATTACTTTTTTACAAAACCAATATATTTGTAATTACAAACCTTAGTCAATTTGAATGTATGAGAATGGCAACATCTATAATTTAAGATTAGTTAATACCTGAACTGGCAGGAAGTGATGGAGACCATGGAGTCCCTTCAAAAAGGGAGTACAGTGATGTTTCCTGGGGGGCCATCGAGGGATTGAGTTCTGCTTTGGAACCGGTTGTCAGGTTTTTCCCATATACCTCATTGAACATACTGTTATTTGGGTATCTTTCCTGAAAGATATGACACTCAAATTACAAACTTCTCCAAAACAAAGAGATTAAAAAAAAAAAAAAAAAGAAAAAGAAATGTCATGTTCATAAATTCTTAATATATCTAAAGCTTTTATTTTCATTTCCCCTTTTGCTTTCTCTCACCCTTTATTTTGCTCTATATAAACTACTCACATTATACAGGTCACCAATTTGACCCAATCAGACACTAGGGAATAAACCCAAATTTCGGGAAGATATCAATATATGGAAAAGAAGGGAAAGAGAAAAACAGTTGTATTGAAAAATAGGAAAAATCATCAGCATAGAATAAAAGTACAAAGCAAGATTCTTAACTTTTTACCTACCTGATTGAGAGAGAATCCGGTGAGGGACAGGAAAGAGGATGAATGTGACATGAGCTCTGAGGGTTTCTCCAATAAGGATTTCTTCACAGTCCCAGAAAGAAAAGTAGTTAAGTTATGCCTTCCATTTTCTTAATATTAATCTTAAGACACTACAGAATCCAAGTAAAAGACCACCGTTTAAGGATACTTGTATTCATTCAATGTATACAATATAATGAATGCCTAGAAGATGTGAATTTGGAGCTGAAATACCATGACGCTAGCTAAGCTTCAATTGCCACAGGTGAGTTAGTCAGAACTCTTCCTTATCAGTGTTATCTAGGCTAGCTCAGAGATTCTGGCAGGGACCACAGAGCCAGGAAAACAGCAGGAGTTCTGAGTATTTTTAAGGCATGAATCTCAGGAATTCCTTTATCAATAATTGCTTTTAAAACAAGATGCCGAACTGTTCTACCACTGCTTACTCCCTAAATTTTAAAAATACTGACATGGATGACATACAAAAAAGCCTTTCAAAGCTGTCTGRCAACTGGTTTTATTTACATGTTTCCTAAGCAGCTATATTTGTGGTGTATGAATATACTAAAAGTCTAAATTACATTTACTGGCTATAAGAAAAATATGGGGGGGCTGGGGATATGGCTCAAGCGGTAGCGCGCTCGCCTGGCATGCGTGCGACCGGGGTTCSATCCTCAGCACCACATACCAACAAAGATGTTGTGTCCGCTGAGAACTAAAAAATAAATATTAAAAATTCTCTCTCTCTCTCTTAAAAAAAAAAAAAGAAAAATATGGGGAAAAGAAAGCTGAATCTATAATGCTCACTGCCACTAAACAGTGGGTCAACAAATCATTTATTGAATACCTACTACATGCAAGGCATTTTCATATATATTATATTGTTAACAATGAGTTTAAGAAGGGTTACTGTTGAGGGCTTTAAAAAATCTGTTTTTAATGGTTGGTTTTTTTAAAACACACATARGAAAAATAAAAATGGACTGAAACCCCCACCACTTGCTCCACCTCCAATGTAAGAGCAGGAGCAACAGGAACCCAGGGATATGATATGGAAACAGGTAGACAGCCAGCCAGTATTCCCAGTTTCTCAAGCCATTCCAGCAGAAAAGGAACAAGACAGGCACAAACACCTAGGCAACAGTACAGCAGCTGGGCTTTCAGCACGTCCCTGCTCCCGGGTGTAGCACTAACACCAGGGGTCTTAGTTGCTAACTTGGGAAGAGGCTTTCATTCTCATTCACCCAGGCAAATTCCTAAGGGAACTTTCAGGTACTAGGGATGGCAACTATGTCATGACAGCTGTTTTTATTTCTCTTGATACTACAATTAATGCATCTTAATCTAATGTTTAGAATGTTTTTCTTGCCCTGTGTTTATGGGAAAGAAACACCAAGAAAGAAACTTTTTTTCCCCCCTGAAATGTAGTGAACAGCGGGGTAAAGCCTCATGGCATACATCGTCTTCCCAACTTTTATACTCCCTGCCCTCAGTAAAATATAATGCTCCTGAGCATGAAGAATGTCTTTGAAATGCAGTCTATGTTGTAGATCACTTTTAAAAAGACATGATTAATCCAATCTTAAATTCTAAAATTGTCCTAGTTATTTATCTTCATATTGACATGGTACTCCAACAATGTTTACAAATAGAATCCTTTTTAATTTTACTCAGTTTATGCATCCAACTCTTAATATTAGGGCTCTTTCTGGGTTCAGCCAGCTAAACAGGAAAGAACTAAATACTGTTCAATAATTTCAGTAAGAAAAATCTAGAACATATTTCCTTTCGTACTTTGAATACATTTAAGACCAAAAATCTCACTTCCCCTAGGCAAGATTAAATGACACTTAAGTTTCTGGGTCCAGATGGAAGTGCCACCTGGAAAGCGAGTAGGTTTGCTAATACCATGGCCTGAGCATGACCAGCCCTGCAGGATGCTTTGTGCATAGCACATGTATCTAGGCTCTGTATGATTCTACTATTGGAGGAACCAGAGTCAGAATTTTTTTTTGCCATATTGGATTACCATTTTAAGGTTAGTTCCAGGCAACGAGAAAATATATTTTATACTTCATACTATAAAGAAGCCAAGCCCTGGAAAGAAGAAATCACCTATAACGAGTAATACAAAATCTCAGAAAAGCAGCTGGTGTTAGAGCAAGAAGCAGGATTATGTCAAATACATACAAAGAGGCTTCGTCCAGGAAGAGAGGCGAGAGGCCCCAGCAGAGCTGGGTAAAGATCAGGAGGGTTAGAAAAAATCAGCTCTTCCTCTTCCTCCAAGGCAGCCAGACTCTTTAACAGGTCCGGAGGAAGCAAAGGGGAGCTCTTGGGGTCCTAGTGACAGAAAGGAGCACAGTGAGATGCAATTAGGTATGACAAAAGCATAATGGAGTAGTAGTAACGTGATTACGGTGGATAAGGCAACTAAAAGGGTGGAGAAGTAATCAGTAGGGAAATAGTTAATGCAAAGAGAAAAGGCTGTGAAATATAAAAGCAAAGTGACATAGGACATGGTTGAGAAAGACAACAGAAAGAAGCAAAGATACAGACAGAGCAGAACATAAAAGATTAATGTAGTTAGTAAAACAAGGCAATGGAGCAAATGATTAGCATATTTTGTGCTAACAAATAGAAAAACAGGTCTTTTAAAAAAGTTTATAAGCACACCTGCTTCTCATGACTAAAAGGGCAAGAAAAGGGAATTCCACTGTCCTCGATAACTGACTTTTTTCCTCTCAGAAAGCAATTTGTTTAAATGCTCAATAAAACCATTTTTAAACTCAGTGACTCGGCCCAACTAAGAGGAGCTCTTTGTCTCAGAATTCTCGAACATGCTGTATTAGAGATTCCTGTACATTTCTCACCTGAACATCATAGTTAAAATCGGTTATAATTCTTCAGTTCCCCCAATTGAACCATACTATGTAATTTTGAAGAGACCAAGTGCTGTAGTACCAATGGACCATAGTGATCTTTTATAATATCAATTTCCTATATGTATTTTTAGGTGTCAACTTGAAAAATATAAATAAATACAGTATCTACTATAGAAATTAAAAAGATAAGCAACCTTAGACCCAGCTTTACAAGAACCTGGTGATCGGAAAGGACACACACCTCAAATGGCATCCTGGGCACAGGATCCTGCTCTGGACGGAAGACTCCTGGTGACCGTTTCCCCCTGCGGTCCACATTTGCTTGCTGTGCCATTACAGCTCTATTATCAGCCATGCTGTAGGAAGAATCCCAGTAGAATTCTGGGACCTTGACTTCTGAGGGATTATGGTTATATGGCTCCATGGGAAAAGGCTTCATTTTTTTCTCTAGAGGCTGCTGCTGCTGCATTACAGGAGGTTGCAATGACGGCTCAAACAGTTTTATGGGGTCTTGGGACTGAAGGTAGTAGGGCTGTTTCACAGGCATGATTTTCCCTAATGGGCCTTGAACCTGAGGAGGATTCCACAGCTGTTTGGAGGCATCTGCCTGTTGATACTAAAAAGACAGATACCTATGACCAAGGTGAAGATAATATGCAATATTACTGAAAATTAATGCTAAAGAATCACAGAATGAACCAGAAACCAAAACTATAACCAAACCAAAACAAACCAAATTCTCTGTGTGTGGGTGGGCAGGTAGAGGGGGATATAAAAATCCAAAACCAAAACTCAGCAATGCAGTAGTTTCCTTTACTCTTCATTGTTTTTTTCAATATAGAGTTTAGGAAACCAAGTATGGGCACTAAAATCATATTTTACTTTTTCAATTCAATTATTTAAGAAGTTTAATGAATGAATATATATGAGAGACTTTCTGCTTCAAGTGCTATGGGGATAACATGTAAGATTGGTATCACATTCATCATAGCACTTCATTAAGACTATGATTTTCTTTTCATTTTGTGGTTTATATTCAAATAAGAGATAATTATTTAAATAAAAGCTTTCCTACAAAGCTCATAATTAGCATTAGCAAAGAATGACAGTGAAGATTATCTTTTATCAATAGAGAAGGAAAATATTTATTTTTCTGACAGAGATTACTTTTGTATTCCCACAATAATAAATTATAAGTCTAAACAAGAAGTATTTTTAAAGTTTAACATTTTTTAATTAGTCAAACAAATCATTTTGGAATTTCCCCTTATTCAGGGTGGTTAGCACACGTGACTGCAATGTACCTGTTGGAATCCAGAGTGGTGAGGAGGGCTTTTCCCCATAGCTGGCACGGCTTTTGTAGGGGATTGCTGCTGCTGAGCAAGAGCTTGAACCTGCAACTGGCTTGTGGACTGTGCTGTTGGCTGAGCTGGTAAAGATGGAAGGGGTTGCTGGGAGGGTGGCTGTGACTGTTGAGGTCCCTGGTTCATTGGCCCTGGTCCAGAGGGCCGTTGCTGGCTGTAAGGAATGTGGGACTGTTTCCCAGCTTGCACCTGGTTTCCTGCTGGAGAGTGAGCTGCAGGCTGAAGAAAGGTTCCTGGGACAGAAACACCAGCTGGGAAGGTGTAACCTGAGCCCATAGAAAATGCCACAGGAGGGGGAATAACATATGTTGGGGGCGGGAACCCTTCAAAACAGAAGAACACAGCTTTAGTTCTAAAGAAAGTTAGCCAAAAAGGGGAAAGTCTTTTTTTTTTTTTTTTTGTGGTGGTGGGGGATTTCTAATACATTATAAAAGCAACACATCAACCATGTTGTCAGTCTTTAAGAATTCAAGAATTAAGAATTAAATGCACACTATTTTCTAATTTTCTTCTGTCCACTGAAGTAATAAGCATATTCTAAGTTTTAGATTTTTTTTTTTTTTACAGTGCTGGTAGTTGAACCGAGGTTCTCACGTATGCTAAGCAGCAACCTATCCCTGAGCCACACCCCCAGCCCATTTGAGTGCTCTAAAGATGGCTTCTCAAGTTTAGTAATAGGAATTCCTTCATGATAACAAACATGCACTTGTATATGAACTACAAAAATAATTTCATAAGTATTAGGGGAAACTGAACTTCTTTCTACTTGATAACATTATTATTCTAAGAGAATAAACTACTCAATGAGTGAACAGAAATCCCCAGACACATATGAAATTAAGTACAACAAATTACAAAATGCATTTACCTGGCCGGCTAGGAAGAGGAGGGAAGGCTCCAGGGTGATGAATGGGGATGAACTGGGAGTTACTTGCTTGACTTGGGGTTTGAGTTACAGGTGTTTTCCTGGCTTCAGACACTGGAGTCTTTCTTAGTTCTGCCTGGGATTTCACCTATGACCAACAGAAGCAAAACTATCAATAAAAACATGGAATTCTAATGTGTCAGAAAAAGTACCTATTCCTAAGAAAGTATGTTGAAGATATTTAAATTCACCTAAGTTAAAAATGAAAAAAAAATTAAAAATTATTTAATCGCCAATAAAATAGATAAGGATTTAGTTTAACTAATGTAGTAATTTTGCTTTCATACAATCACAGAACCTCTAAATATGGAAAGGACTTCAATGCCCATTTGTTTTACAAGTGATATACCTGATGCCAACAGGTTATCAAACTTATCTGTGATCTTAAGCTGCCTACTGTGGGGTCTAGGGCTCTTTATGCTGAATTATGAATTAATTAAGATCATCAGCTCTTGGTGACTTTTTTGGCCCCCAGTTTAATTTCATCTGGACAGGCTTAAGTGTAGAGTCAGGCATCTACCCTCAACCCTGCAACCTTATCACTCTTTGGAATAAAAAAAGGATATTTTCAGCAGAGCCAGAAAGTATATATATACTACTCAAGGTYGAGGCGGGGGAAAATATTAGCATTTACGAAAAATTGCGGATGAGGCTTTTTTATGGGTGGATTTCAAATGGAGAAAGGAGATTTATCAATTTGGACCTTACTGGAAGGCATGAGAATGGATGAAGGGCAGGCAGAAAATGCTAGTCTTGATATTCCTAAAACATGAGTCCTTTGGCTTTCTATGTTTTTTTTTTTTTTTCTTTTCCCAGGACCTCTCTTTTTATGTCTTTTCTCAATTTCCACCATGTTCTTCTCTGTTTCTCTTCCTACAATTAATCTGAAAATGAAAATGAAACTATTGTTTTCTTATTTCTCCCTTTCTCAAAAAAGTTCTATTAGGGAAATAAATTGAAGATACCGTTTATTTGTAAGCAGCCTTCAATAATGTAACATTCCTCCTGCAAACACATACATTTGTTGAAATGTGTTAACAAATCACATGGCTACTTAAGTATTTATTCAAAATTAATGGTATTGATAAAATCAGCAAAGAGTAAATACCCTCTGTTAATATGAAATTACCTGCATTTCTTTAGAAAGATATAAAGTAAAAAAAAAAAACCCTCAGAAATAACTTAGCAGAGTTTTTTTTTTTTCTTTCCCCCCAACAAGATATTTTGGGTTCTTGTTTTACAAATTCCTGTGAGTCAGGTATTAACCAAAGGACTCATGTTTTAGGAATATTACTAAAGGACAGTGCCACTGGCTGGGACAGGTATAAGTTCAAAGATGAGAAGCTTTTTCTTGACATTTATTCAAAGGTGACTATTGGTTTCTCTCCTGTGTCTCAGCTGTTGCTTTGTAATTTGGATAGTGAATCTTAGCAGAAAACAAAAGATCACACAAACCTTAATAGATCTTGGATCTACAAGACCTCAAATCTTTGCTTTAACGTTAACAAATGGTAATTATAACCTTATAAATAAAAATATAATCCTGTGTGGAAATGACGGCTCTACAACCAGTCAACTCAAATCACTAAGACAGAACTGATAAGAATTTCTTATCAGTTTTTTTTTCCACTCACATTATAATGCCCAAGAATCAATAAAGTCACCACAGCTTGCCTTTTTTTTTTTTTTTTTTTTTTGCGGGGGGGATTGGGGACTGATTGAACCTAGGGTCTTGCACATTCTAAATGCTGAGCTACACCCTCAGCCCTACCATAGCTCTTTACATACCTTACGATGAATTCAAAGAATTCACGTAAACTTCACAACAGCCAATGTTGAAGGCTTTAGGAACAAAATGAGAAATCTTGCCTTTTGTGTGAGCCTGCCTTCCTCTACCTGCTCTGTAGTTCAAATACAGCTTACCTGCACTGCCACATTCTGCTTTCCTGTTTCCTGTAACTTTTCTAAGGTGCATTTCTTGGTTTCAGTTTTCCTCTTGGTGTTGTCCTTCTTTCCATTATTCTTAGTTACAGTTATTCCTTTGCTATAGTCCCTTCTCACCTCTTTGGGAGGAAAACTTCTTCCTTGGTCTCTGTTCACTTCTCGTGGCTTAATGTTCTCTTTGAAGGTGACCATTGGTTTCTCTCCTGTGTCACAGCTGTTGCTTAGATTTCGGCCTGTAGACAGTACTGATTTCAGTCCTGGGCTCCCATCAGCAGCCAGCGACTCTATCACAGGTGTTTCTTGTAGAATGAGGTTCTCTTTGGCTTCACTGGGGTCTTCCAGTATTAATTCTGGAATTTCTGTGATAAATAACAATTTCCCTACCTCATTTTCACACTGAATTAGCCTAAAAAAGTAAAAATAAATCCATATATGAAAAACATAAAACTAAAAAACAGTAACTCAACTGTGTATGATTCAATAGTCAATATATTCCTGGCCCTGAATATCAAAGAAACAACAGGATATAACTGTGAATCCAGGTCACATAGAAAATACACAGAAACTCAGATTTTTTATTAGCACACTTAACATCGCAATACATTCCACTATCCTTTCAATATTTGCTAATAATTAGTTATAACTACTGACCATGTTTTAAGTACACGACACTTGTCTAAGCCTTTTGGCATAAACTGTAAAGTGGCTATATATAAGCCCTATTTTGGGGGTGTGGAAACTGACACTCAGAGATGAAGAGTTCACATGAAAGCCACCTAGAAAGTAGCAGACCAGAAACTGAATTCAAACCTATCTGATTCAAAAACTTGTTTTTCCATTATACCAACTGTCAGATCTGCTTTGTATTTAACTAGTACTAGCACCATCCCAGCTAGTCCTGACAGAAACCAACCAGCATGCCCTCGCCCAAAGAAATCACTGTGAGAACTGAAACTCAGATTTATACAGATGTTTACAAGCTTGAGCAAAGCTCATGACAAACAACGGAGACACGTCCAGTTCCAGTGTACTGGGGGAACAAATTTTTAAATAAAATGTATACTTATGATCACTTGTCATAATTAGATGTTCTGCTACAAATATTTTTACTTAGTTTATAATTGACAGTATTTATACCAAAGCCTGAAATACATGTGAGAGAGCGGGTATGTACAATTTGATTCAAAGGAGTGGGCTAGAAGGCCAATGGACATACCTTGGCTGATTATCGGCAATCCATTTGCCTATAGCTATCAAGCGTTGCTGTCGTATTCGCCGTTGCTGACCTTCTTTGTCTCCTGTAATACCCTGGTGGCCTTTGGAAAAATCCAAGTTCCTAAAATTCACACAACAAATTACAGAAAATGAAACTCTAAAAATAGTTTCCAGGCAAACAAATTCACCTAATTAAATGCAAAGTATATAAGATGTTTTCCAGACAAGTTAGCTACTTGATGGCATTTGTATGAATTACACTTGCAAAGACTTTAAATACAATAAAGCAGAAAACAAAAATAAGAGCTCATTACATTAATGGAATACTTTTGCTTCTATTTCATTTTCTAGTTAAGAAGCTCAAATAAATCACTTTTTACTAGCATTCTTTTGTCACTGTAATAATAAAGTATTTTTTGTTTATTTGCTGTGCTGGGGATGGAACCCAGGGCCTCCTATGTGCTAGGTAAGTGCTCTACCACAGAGCTAAAACCCAGCCCAGAATAAAGTTTTATCAACACTTACCTTGCCTTCCAAACAATTTGATTAAAATAACCAAGGCAATGCTAAGAGTCTCTGAGGTGYCTATTATAATAAACAGCATTAATCTATCCATTTTTTAAGATGGCCCATTCTAAATTAGAAAAAAGCATAAATATCATAAAGTATACAGATAAGAGAAGGGTTTGTCAACCAGAGAAAGTAACGGTTTTTCAGTTCTCTTCTCACTACACTTTCCAAAAAAAAAAGGTTAGGCAGTAGGGAGGAGTTTGAGGACATCAGCTATAATTATGATTCAATCTGATAAATAAATTATGATTCAATCTTATAGTAAAAACTATGCAAAGAATAAGGGAACAAAGTAAAATAAGGATGAGATCCTTCTCAGCAATTCTGGAAGGGTTTCAGAGAAAATGACACTGAGCTGGATGTTAGCAGATGGGATAACTGCTTACCAAACTAGTAGGGGAAGGGSCGGAGAAGAGGAGGGAATGTTCTAGGCACAGCATGAATAAGGTGTACGGAGAAATAAGAATACAGAGCTAACCTAGAATAAAACACAGTGAGTGCATGGTGTGTATAAGTACCAGGGGTAAGGGAAGAAAGCAGGTGAAAATAAATCTGAAAAACTAAGCTAAATAATATTAGAACTTGGRACACCGACCTGAAAGAAATACTGCAGTGACTGGGGATGAGTGAATCTAAGTTTTTAGATTAGTCACGGAACAGCATCAGTTCTACACTTGGRAAAAAAAAAAAATTCTGGAAGCAGTAGGAGCTATAGGAAGAGAAGAGGCTTCTTCTGCTCCAAGTAAACGGTGATTAAAAACCTGAATTATGGGGAAATAAAAGGTGATGAAGCTGACAGGCATTTTGGCCACAGAATTCATAAACTTGGTGAGCAATATTAACAAAAACAAGAGCTTTTCTGATTTCTAGCCTGGTTGACAATTTCTAGCTTGGTCTACACAAGCACAGTTATAAAAATAAAGAAAGAAGATTAATTTTAATGACCAGATAGGAAAATATAAATTCAATTTTGGGCATAATATAGCTTAAAATGTATAAGGGTCATTAGATTTTTAAAAATAGGAATCCAAATTCCAAGAGAACTCAGAAGTAAAACTTTGGGAATTACAAAACAAGATAAAAACTCAAGACAGGGATGGATCTGATCACCAGGGAGAATGGAGAAAGTGGGAAGGAAAGAACAAGGAGAGAATCCTGGAGAACAACATTTAACATGTGTGGTGCAAAAGAAAGAGTGAAAAAGACTAAAGGTGGGAGAAGAAGAATAATGCCACAGAGCCCCCCAAGATTTTGTCAAGAAAGGGATCAATAATATTCAATGCTGGAGATTAAAAAAGGATGAAAATTATGCAACAGCCCCAGGAATTTGGTATCTAGGAGGGCACTGACAGTTCTAAGTTGCTGAAGGCTGAGAAATGAACAAAAGTTGAAGATGGGTCAACATGGTTAGCTCATACTAATTTAAAAAAGTTTAATGAAGAGAAAAGACAAGACAACAATGAAGATGGGGGTTGTAAATTTATTTATTAATTAATTTATTTAATTTATATTTGAGGTAGGTACTAGGGGTAATACCAGGGATGCTATATCCCCAGCTCCTTTTTTATTTTTTTTTTAATTTTGAGACAAGGTCTTGCAAAGTCGCTGAAGCTGGCCTCAAATTTGTGATCCTCCTGACCCAGCATCCTGTGTGTCTGGGATTATAGAGCATGTTCCACTGAGTCCAGCTTTATTTTATGTAAAAGAATGGAGCATACATAAGTGATACTAGGCTGAAGGGAAGTGTTTGGTTTAAAAAAAAAAGAAGAAAGAAAGAAAAAGAAAAATGATATGGAGAGGAGTAAAAGATGAATGAAGGCGCCAGAGGAGGTACAAAGGGATGGGACCAAGAGACATAAGATGACTGGGAAAACCAGATTATAAGTAATAACCTTTGGTTTACATCTGTTTCCCTTTTTGACATTTACCCTCTAATTTCAAGAAAAGTTTGAAAGTTCATATCATTCAGTGAAAAAATATTACTTGGAGAATTAATTTTCTTTTCCATTCCTTTCTTAAACACTTAGTATTGGTATTATACAGGAATTAAAGACATGACATACATGAATCCATTTCACATCAACACACTGTCATTATTAGTTTTTGTTATGAAATAAGAACAGAGCAAAGGTTCTACACACAAACCTAATTCTTTTTAATTATAATACTGCAACCACTAGCAATGCAATAAACCTTTTTCAGCAGCCACCTACCTGAAAGAAGGTCTCAAAGCCAAGAATCCTTGTAACTCAAACTCCTCTGGAAGTGGTGTAGCTAAAGGGAGCAAATTTTTATTTTATTAAAATTTCATTTATTTAGTATTTTAATTAAAATATTATTATTCAAACAATGCTCACTAAATTTTAAGGATAAAATAAAATAAATATGCAAAGAAAGTATCTGTAATGCTCGATTCTATAACCTTCATAGTAATCTTGATAAAAATAACTTACCCATCAAAATCCCAGAGTATGTTACCTTTGGAGCCTAGCATTCTTCTACTATTCACCTAATAGTCAATGCTCAGGAGGATGGGTATACAGACTTTATTATCAGCATTTCTAAAAATTCTTAGCCTCAGCTTTAGTAATCCCAATATTTATATCATTTATCTCCTTTAACTCCAAGTATTGATGAGCAACATTCATATCACCAAGAACTTAAAAAAAAATACAGATTCTTGGGCCCCCTCTCAACCTACTGAATCATGCTGAATTTGAACAAGATCCAGGGGATTCACTTGCAAGTTAGCATTGAGGATTACTGATCTAATGGAAGACAATCAGAAAGGAGTCAAGCTATATGTTGCTCAATGCAGCACTACTTATTAARGGAGAAAATATTAAAAGTCATAGACACTGAGTAAATAGATTATGGCACATATATAGGATACAATACCATAAAGTCAGTGAAAATTGTTTTCAAAATGCTTAGTGAAAGAGTYTTAACAATAAAATGTTAATTTTAAAAGCAGGTACACAGCAGTATCTGATATCATACATTACATTGTTACCTATAAGAAAGAGGCTTGGAGAAAATATACTATCATGTGAATGGTACAAAGTACTACAGGATAACTATGGGCAGTATGTGTGTGTGTGTGTGTGTGTGTGTGTGTGTGTGTGTGTATGTGTTTGCATGTGCCAAATTTTCTGATGAGTAGGTATTAATTTGACAGAGTGATATTCTTAACACACCCACCCCTTTAAATAGTATGAATGAAGAGGAAAAAAAGATGGAAATAATTTAAAGATATTCTTTTACTCTCTGAACTCCTACTCAAATGTGGCTGAGCAAGAATAAGCTGCTTGAGGGGCTAGGGCTATAGGTCAGTGGCAGAGCACTTGGTTAGCATGTGTGAGGAATGTGTTCGATCCTTAGTACCACATGAAAATGAACAAATAAGGCTGGGCACAATGGCACATGCCTTTAATGACAATGGCTTGGGAGGAGGGGGCAGGAGGATCACAAGTTCAAAGCCAGCCTCAGCAATTTAGGGAGGCGCTAAGCAACTCAGTGAGACCCTGTCTCTAATAAAAATACAAAATAGGACTGGGGATATGGCTCAATGGTCAAATGCCCCTGAGTTCAATCCCTGGTATGCACCCATGCACCCCCCTACCCCCGCATCAATGAACAAAAAGACATGCTGTCCATATACCACTAAAAAAAAACAAAACAAAACAAAAATACGCTTGAAGAACATCATCTCTACTTTCACCCACTTAATCTGTATAGAGCTCAAAGTCTCTTCTAAAATACTGAATTTAAAGTCAGACTTCTCACCAAAAACCTATTTTTCTCTAGCCTTAAACGCACCATTAGTGATAGAGAAACTATAGCAAAAATTCATTGTTACCATTAGTACTTGAGAGATCCTCTTCGTGCGGATGGAAACTATTTAGAAGAGAAATTAGCCAGGGCCAAATGCTGTAAATTAAAGAAATATTTCAAATTTAATTTTTATACAAGATAATTAGAATACTCATAAACCATGAAAATGATGTCTACAGGAACTAGTCTTAATGTATTTTTCCTTTTCAACATTTCAAGTTTGTATTAATCCCTAAAATATATTTTYAAAGATATCGCTATAAAGATGTACCCAGAAGAGTCAAATTTCCATGACGGAGACATACTACTGAAGATTGTTTTCCAGGTTTCTTATTTAACAAACAGCAAAAATGATATTAGTTTTAAACACTGAAAATTGATGTTTATTGAGAAAATTCTAACCAGAAAAAAAAAGATATTACGCTTTTATAGATTTAAAAAAAAAAAAAAACCATATATTAGCAGCTGTGGGACCCATTGGTAGATCTTTTAACCTGTGATAGGTGAGGGCACATCACATTCAAATCACTCTCTTCTAAATGATAAATAATGCCTTCTTCCTTATGATATACACACAAAAAAGTCTACTCTGCTCAATATCATCTCTAAACTCTGGGCCAATAGGATAATTGTATAGGAACAAGGCCTATATACAGAAACGGCCATCCCTGTCCATAAACACAAAAACCCTATATGTAAATGATAAAAAAGACTTCTTTCACAGTATTACTGATACAATTTATTAAACCAAACAGAAGTTTGAATTCTACATATATAAAACTGTATAGCCTAGGTTTTTTGATTTGTCATAAAATTAATTGAAATTAAATTTGATATTGAATAAACAACTTCAAAAGTTTTATAATATCCCAATATTTTGTGAATATAGCCTAGGTTAAGAAAAAAATTTTATTTGAGACAGCACCTAGAAATCTATATAACAAATACCTTTGCAAATATTAAAAGGAGATGTATACAACGTGGTGCTATGTTCCCAAACTCCACTAATAATGTCAAAAGTGATGGAGCTAGCTTACAGTTAGGTGAGAGAAAAAAGGAAAGAGAATTATGAAGTAGAGGAATCACAGGGTTTCGAATGAGGCCTTTTCTTAAGTTGTGATCTTCGTCAATGTGATGGGCCACAGATAGCAATTTCAGAGATTTTTCCTTAAATTTACCATCAAAACACACAGGGAAGGAACTTCCTATTCACTGCAAAGCCTTCTTGAAGGTATTTACCTCTAATACTCAAAGGTAAATTGAAAGTTTTCATTTGTCACTGTGAAGTCAACAGTTCTGTCAGAATTACTTTGAATACAGATCACAGAGAAAATGGTAAGAGTAAAAATAGCTTTCAATCTTCTGTGATTAAAATAAATACAATTCAAATTGGGTGTTATTATAAAGCAACATCAAATAGTTTTAACATACAGAAAATAATGAAAGAATTAAGAATCCCTTTATAATCCCTTTTCCTGAACAAAAAAGTGAGGCACAAGGTATTTGATAAGAAACAAACTGATTGTATGTCAAGTTCATCTTGAAATGTGAAAATTATCTTTTCCTCAGGATGGTAACTGGGAACAGGGAAGGGCAGAGAGAAGCACAAATTCTTAAGACTGTGCCTCACATGAAGAATTCAAACAAATAAATGGGAAGCATACAAAGAGGTTTTTAGTTCAATTTCCAGAGTGTAGGCAGAAAATACAAAGTCTTCCATTGTTTGAATGTTGTGTTGTTTGAATTGTTGTGTTTCAGAAGGCAGTTTTCACATATCTACGAATATCAAACAAACAAAGCATACAAGCTACGATGAAATTACAAAACACTTACTACTGTCTTTCATCTACCACTGCCTCCTGAAAGACTCTGGGTCTGAGTCTTAGCCAGTCCATGGAGACCTTGACCGCAGGAAGGGGATAGGCATTGTAGGACTCCTCCTGAGACTCATTCTGCAGAGGACACTTGCACAGGATGCCAAGAAAAGACACTTAAAGAAAAAAATGTATTCACAAAGCATAAGATATTTGAAACTGCATACCAATCTAAATTAAAATGTCATTATGAGTCTCCTCCTCCTATATTCTACTGAATACGCAAGGATTTTCAAGTTTCTTCCTAAAAGGGCATTTTTTTTTTCCATGTTAAAATGTTGTATAGTTGGTGAGGGCATCAAGTAAAAAGGAAAGAACTTGGGGTCTGGGGCTCCTGATTTAATATTAACAAAAACGGAACACATTTTTGTACATCATTCTGTTTTGCTACACTGATGAAAATGCTGAAGATTTTGCTTTTCCAAGAAGATGATGCCTGTCAAAGTTGAATGATGTAATACTCACTAAAGAGGGCCAGCAACTGTGTCCAACATAGCTGTTCATCTTGGCTGTAAGTATGCTGCTCCGTTTCATTACTAAAGTCACGAAGGTGATGAAGTTGAAATAGGTTAATGACAGTGACATGAACTAACTGCTGAGAGTTGAAAGCTTTTTGGAATAGCAGTCTCTGTAAAAGAGGACAAAAAATACTGTTATATTATTAAGAAAAGAATTTGAATTAAAGACTGGTAGTCTGCACTTAAGACCACATGGGTAATAGAATTACAGATGAGTAAATTGTTTCACTTTTCATCCCAGTATTTTAATTGGGTCTAACATTTCCCAATCTGAATAATTCTCAAATGAATTAATCCAGAAACTACTGAATTGTTTGTCAAACAATCTTTTTATCCTAAGAAACTATACATTTGTAAATATGACTTGAGAAAAAAGTTTTGGGCAGGGATCTATCCATAACTTTACACAGTTTAATTCATTAGATATTGTTTTATAAAAGATACAAATATATTAAAATACCAATAATTAGAAAGCACATAAAGGAATTTATTTGATCTGATCAACAGCATTACAAAGAAGTTGTCACTCGATACTCTCAGCTGGCAGCCTCAACTTAATTACCCTTCTACTTTAATATCTCAATAGTTTTAGACTATCCCCCAGTAAAATACTTTTCAAAGAGAAGTTCTTAACAAAGTTGATAGCTACCAGAAGCATTACACTGGTTTCACCCTACCTTAACTACAGTCAGCTTCCTTCCCTCCCCAGGGAAAGGTTTTGGAGAGAGCAGCGATTTGCATCTCTAGTCTTATGGTTAGAAATAACAACCTTTACTTACAGCTATCAGCAGCAATAAAAGAATATACCCAGATTCACAGTTGCTTTGACTATTCTGAGTTTTTGTTTCTACATAGTTTAAGAATCTGAAATATCCAGAGTAATCTCTGCAATTCTAAGCAAAGTCTTTCACATTATTACTGTAGAAAAACACAATCCATTCTATTTTTTCTATCACAACTCTCAGCCCCTTTGCAATTTGCCATCCTACAATGCTCATCCCTACATCTACAATGCTTATCCCTTCTCTAAAGGCCACAAAGCATTTCTCTTTCTTTCCCCAAAATTTCCTAAAATTCTACCCGTTCTCTAGAATTTTTACACAAAAGTTCTCCTTCAACCTCTAGATCCAATCTTCTAAATAAGCAAACCGTTTACACAGATGACACTGTGAGTTCAGTACCCTGAAGTTTATATGAGGATGATATTAATTATCTACATGTTTTAGAAACACTTTTAGAAATTTAATCCACTATGCTAAAATTTGATTCTAACAAGATTATTCTGTTATTTTAAAGCTGGATCTTGTAGTTTGGAACTTGGATGTCCCCCAAAAGCCCATGTGCTGAAGGCTTGGTCCCCAGCCTGTGGTGCTATTGGTAGGTGGAAGAAAATCTAGGAGGTGGGTCCTAGTGGAAGCAAGTCAAATCTCTGGGGGTGTGACCCTAAGGGGACACTGGGACTCCAGCCTCTTCACCTCTTTGTTTCCCAAGAGCCATAAGGTGAGCAGCTTCCTCTCATGCTCCCACCACGATGTGTACTGACTGCTTTGCCACAGGCCCCAAATCAATGAGCCAACCAACTATTGGACTAAAAGTTCCAAACTTTCCTCTTTTTCAGTTGATTATCTCAGGTGTTTTGCCACAGTAATAAAAAGCTAACATAATGGGTAAGGTTTCAAATAGACGTGCTAATCCCATGTGTTGGTGATGATACTTCAAAGTATATTTCAGCAACTGGCCATCTACATTCTTACCTACAGAAATATATATATTGAGAAAATATTAGCATTTGAGGTTCTACTAAATGCAAAACTGACTGGGTTCAAACTAGAAAAACTACACAGTGAAGATCACATTAATGCAGCTCTCATAGAATCAGAGCTAGAAGCAATCTCAAGATGTCAACTAGCCCAATGACTTGCCCTTTAATTTGAATTTTATCTAAATCACGCAAGACAGATGACTGTCAACCTGATACCTAAAATCTCCAAAAAAGGRGAATCCACACTCTCCCTCAGTTACCTATAGCTCTCAACTTAAAAATTTTAGCTTTGACTTCAAGAAAGACAAAGGTATATTCTCTTTAAATAATCCTTCATATATACAAATACTTATTAAAAATCTAGTTAGATGTTTTTATCTTTTCCAGGCTAAATAGCCCAGAGCATCATCATGTTCCTTTCATATATCCAACCCAACAAATGATATATCATGAGCTAAGATTAAAATAGGCCATTAGGAGAAACAGAGAAAGGAGGGTATCCCAAAAGTTTATTTTAAAACAATTTCTATTAGAATCTGTTATACATATTAAGTACCAACAAAAAAATTATAATCTTTAAAACTACTTCAAATGACTATATCTGGATAATCCACGCCTTTAACTGTCCATGTTCGAAAACGTATTAGAATGGGAGACTTTCATACAACCACTGCCACCACCAGGAGGGCATTTCCAAGCAATTATTAAATTCTAAAGATAATAAACACATTAAAATTAATTTTAAGATCACTAAAGACAGAAAAACTTTAAAACAAATGAACTATAGGATTATGTTTGAAGTATCCACATAAATTATAGGAACTGTCAGGTAGTTATAGACAATTCCCCAAGTATATAGAAAGAAAGAAATAATCAAGAAATATAAAATGTTGAGATTTGTCTTTTGTGCTCTTGATCCCAGTGCCTAAAACAGTGACTGATACTTAACATTTGTTGCATATATTAATTAAAAATAAGTTAATACTTAAATTTGACTATCTCTATTTTATGTATTATACTACATTTAAAAAAATAATTTCTCAATATAGTAAAAAAAAGGTCATTTTCTTATATAAATAGAACAAAGGTTATTTAATTTTATTTCCTTATATAATTAGTAAAATAAGTATTTTTGTTGGTGAAGTTCTCATTACTTTCCTTCAAACTACCAAAACACCTGACAGATTGAAGCACATTAAGAACAATGAGAATGGTTTGTAGAATGGCAATGTCTATAAAATAGGCATTAGAATCATATCTAAGAATGCAAAACCAACTAAAATAATACTTTCCAAACAAGAATGAAGAGTTAACACTTTTTGCCAAATGGCAGCTACTCAATTAAAACATCGCTACTCTATTTCTTTTGATATTATACTTCAGTTTAAATGACGAAATGTATATGCAAGAATTTCCTATTCTTCCAATTTAATKCTTACCAATACCTTGGTTAAGTTTTGTCATAGAACCAGGAGTCAGTTTTCTCCAAATGTTAGCCTTTCTGATTTAGACAAAAAAATTTCTCTATTTTTGAAATCTAACCTTAAACTGTTCTTCCAATTTCTCTCGAAGAGGGCTCAGCTTCTCCAAGCTCTTACTCAGGTATACATGACCATGGAATTTAATAAAAGCCTTAATGAAGTCAGAAACACCCCATTTGGYTTTCACCTCATCCCGGCTGAAAAGAAAGAAAAACTTTTGTGAATCTTAAGAGTAAAATATAATAAAACCACCTAAAAGAGGTTGGGCTTRCAAGAACAAGTTATTTGAGCACCTGCTGCGTGAGGCAAGAGTTGCACATTTAATTAACTTTTCAACTTCAGATAAGTATTTGGCTGGGAACAAATCAGACACTGGATAAAACTCAGTGACTGTACACATACTATTATGAAGCATCTATAGGTTAGGAATGAAAGAAGAGAAGCACAGGTCACTGACTATTATTTCCTGTACACCTCTCATGGGGCGGGGGGTTTCAACCCTACCTTTCCAGTGCTTTAGAAAGTGCTTTTTGTAGATTCGTGGAGGCAGCTGGGAAAGGGAACTTCACAGCAATGCTTCTGCAGTAGTAGAAAATTGTGGTCAGGTGGTCTCCTTTGGAAGAAGCTAAGATAGCCAACTGATTGTAAGGCTGACCTAAAGGAGAAAAGTTCAGATTCTAAAATAACCCAAGAACCACAGTCTTGCTATCAGAATACAAATGTTCAGTTTTTAAATCCTTAAATTAATAATGGCAAGTATTCTATAAGACAAATCTCATGACTAATTACAAATGAACATAATGTGAAACAACATACTTTAACAATGATATGTACTATCATGTATACGTTTAAAAGTTATATATTTAGGGTGGAGAGCACGAAAAGCATTTTTCTTTTTTTTTAATATTTTTAAATTGTTGATGGACTTTTATTTTCACTTATTTGTATGTGGTGTGGAGAATCGAACCCAGTGCCTCAAGTATGCTAGGCAAGTGTGCTACGCTAAGCTACAACCCCAACCCATGATAAGCATTTCAAATAAGGGTTCACAAAGGGCTAGCTAGTAAGTATTTTTTTGCTCTGCAGGCCAAAGGGTCTCTATCACAATCACTCAGTGAGACAGCCAAAGACAATACGAAATGAATGGTATGGCCAGACTACCAACCCTACTTTAGATTCTTCTAGAATTAAAAGGAGTTTCATCATGGCTTAACACCAATKATTTAAATCATTAAGTATATGATGCAATTTCTTTAATTCAAGAATCACTGCTAGGGCTAGAGTTACAGGTCAGTGGTAGAGCACTTGCCCAGTATGTGTGAAGCACTAGCATCCTCAGCATCACATAACAATAAATCCATTAAATAAATACAGAATCACTGCTAATGACTATTTTGGGACCACCAAAAGACTATAAAGTATTAGTTTTTAGATAACTGATCATTTCCAAAGGGGGAAATGGTAGTATTAAAGAGAACTATTCCACAAGCAATTGAGGAAGCTACAGATATAGAAACAATATTAGATTACATTAATTTTAATTCTGTTATTTTACTAACAAAAGTAATCTTATTTGAAACTTTTTTTTTATCTCACTTATATGGGCAATTACAAAACTCAATATCCAAACTCAACATCTATTGCTTTTATAAAACTTGAAAGATGAGCCTTTAGTTATCCATTATAGTGCTATAAAGAACAAAGTGTCACAAAGTGTCATGGCCAACCTCCAGTTGACAGACCCACTCACCATTGGAGGGGACAAGCTGAGCTGCATGCCTATAGTAGGACTCTGCCTGGCTGGTCTGGTTTCTATATCGAGCTAAGAATAAAAGAAAGAGAATTTAGTTAAACACACACACACACACACACACACACACACACACACACACACACACCACCAGGAGGGCATTTCCAAGCAGTTAGCATTTTAAATTATCTAAAGATAATAAAGGCATTAGAATTAATTTTAAGATCATTACAGACAGAAAAACTTTAAAACAAATGAACTATAGGATTATGTGTGAAGTGTCCATCCGCTTTCCCTATTTGGGACAGTCAGCATGTAACCAATTTTAAAGCTTACCTAGCCCCCATTTTCAGGTCCTCCAGTGTCATGCATCACCAGCTCCCACTATGGACTATGCTGGTGACCTGGAGCCGGCCCACAAGAAGGGGTGACTTATATGGCACTTAAAAACAAAACAAAACAAAACAAAAAAAAAAAAAAACACTATACAATATGATCTGAGAATTATGTAGTTCTTCAATATCTTATAAAGTGATTTTTGAAAAATGCCTTATAATCTACTGCAATATTAAGTATGTGTATGCAAAGAATACACTGAAAGCAAAAACAACTCAAACATACTATCCCTGAATCTCCTTGAAGAACTCAACTGCTTATTTTGATGTAACTCCTCTCATGGAGTCACTGATTTAAGACATTAAGAAACCTAATATCTGTAAACAAACAAACAAAAAAAGTTTTCCATTTCTTGTTATTTTGAGGACAACAAGCAAAACATAATCCTATAGTTAATTTGTTTTATAACCKTTTTAGGTCATCTTAAAGGAATAACAAGAATAAGTAAGTAATAATACTCTCAGATAAAATACATGTAATGGAAATACACATTTATCTTTTAAAAAGGAAGCAAAGTTAAAAATGAGCTTTTAACGCACTAGTAAGAAGGAAAATAAGGGAATTTAACTCTAGAAGAAATAACTTACAAACTATTTATTCCAAAAGAGTACAGACTTTCAATTTAGAAAATATGGTATCACTTTGAAAAATTTTGTTCTGAATACATTTTTGCTGCTTATTATTTTTCTACACCTGCATAAAGTATAAATAAAATTTAAATCTTAATATAAAAATTATTTTCAAGATTATCTGACAATCCCAAAACCTTGAGAAATTCTAAGTTCCTAAAAATACATTTCATAATTTCCTCTTATGATAATCTAAATTACATGCACATACTTACGGTCTAAAGGAAAAGTTTTTTCCTATGGCTACTCCAAAAAAAAAAAAGAAAGGAATGAATATATTATGAATTTCTATTTTTTTCTTCTTTTTTTTTTTAATTTTTTTTAGAGAGAGAGAGAGAGAGAGAGAGAATTTTTAATATTTATTTTTTAGTTTTTGGTGGACACAACATCTTTGTTTGTGTGTGGTGCTGAGGATTGAACCCGGGCCGCACGCATGCCAGTTGAGCGCGCTACCGCTTGAGCCACATCCCCAGCCCTATGAATTTCTTTACACCAAAGGCTCACCAATGTCTCCAAGGTGGACGAGGCAGTGCTGGCAGATATAGGAACAGGAGCTAGACTGTGGCTTCACTATGGCGCTGGTATGCGTCTGTTTATTGCTGATAATTCCCAACTGGGAAGACTTCACACGGCATGGTAAATCTACATTAAACACTGTACACAGTTCTTGTAATAACTGAAAGAAAAACATAAGCAAAACTTAGTAGAAATTTGGAAAGCAGTATGGAGATTCCTTGGAAAGCTGGGAATGGAACCACTATTTGACCCAGCTATTCCCCTTCTTGGACTATTCCCTAAAGACCTTAAAAGAGCGTACTATAGGGATACTGCTACATCGATGTTCATAGCAGCACAATTCACAATAGCTAGACTGTGGAACCAACCTAGATGCCCTTCAATAG